GAGATCTGAAAAAGATAATTTCTGTACAAGTATTTATGACAGCCTGTTAGATTACTTAACTCCTCCAGCAGGGATTGAGGCAAGGCTTATGTAGAGGAGAGCTTTTCCCTGCTTTTTTTTTTTAGACATAATATGCAATAGATTTCCCCAAATTTCGTGCAATTTTAGCCTTGTCTACAAAGGGTAACACAGGATGATTTTTCTGGGAATCTAAATCCTTTCCATGATTCTTTTTAATTCTGTTTCTCTTAGTTACACCCAGATATGTTCTCCCTTCACTTTCTTCCCTGAGTTTATATCAGATGTTTTAATGCTCCTATATGTCAGTGAGCCAAATAAGGCAGATTTCATTAATTGAATCTCAGTGGGGTCCTGCTAGCCTATGATGATTTCCACTGTTTCCCTGTAATCTTATTCCCCTCTATCATGATGGGACTTAAACTCAACATTCCAACTGTGCTTTACTGAGAGGTGAATCTGGAATGACTCAGACAAAGATATTGCAGACAAATCTATTCCCTAACCCTACCTACTTTTGCCACTTCTAGCTGTTCCTGCTTTGCATGTTTTGTTTGTTTGTTTTTGCTTTTATTTATTTATTTTGGCTGGGGTTTTTATGCTTGTTTTTGTTCTTGCTCCCTGCTGTCAGGTGTTGCATATAGCTGAATTAAGAGAGACTGCTCATGTTCATTTCCATTCCACAATTTAGAGGTTCCTGCAGGGAGGTGAAACTTAGAACAGGTTCTGCCATTGTGACAGCCAGAGCCAGTGGATGTTTACATGGAGGTCTAGCCTTTTGTCTGCTTCACTGTCTTTGTTCCAGCTCTGCTTTGCTCTTTGCCTTATTTTTCCATGGATGTATTATTTTTTCATTCATCTGTCTGCTCCTTAGACTGGTCCTGATCACAGCTACACCAAGGAGAAGATAAAGATTGTGGAGGGGATATGCCTTTTATCCAGTGATGATTCAGAGTGGGATGACCTTAAGCAAATTCGGAGCTCTCGAGGAGGGATCCTCCGGGACCATGTTTGCATGAAGACAGACACAGTCTCTATCCAGGCTAGTTCTGGTTCACTGGATGACACTGAAACTGAGCAGCTGCTACAGGAAGAACAGTCTGAGTGCAGCAGTGTTAACACAGCAGCGGCCACTCCTGAACGGCGTGGCTCACTCCCAGACACAGGCTGGAAACACCAACGCAAGCCCTCCACTGAGAGCGAGGTCTAAAGTACATGTTGCTTTAGAAACGCTTGAACCCTCCCTAGCCTCTGTTCTGCACAAAAGAAGACAGGACTCTGCCTGGCAAGCAAGGAAGGGCCCAGAGACTAGCTCCTCTTGTGAGGGGCCCAGAGACTGTGACTGCCTTTTAGCAAGGAGCTTGGCCAGCTGTGGTGTTGTGGTTGAAGAGGGAGGATGGGTGGGTTGGATGGAACCCAGAGACCCTTTCGGCTCATTTTCACTGTGTCTGTGGTTTATTTATATGTTCTCTTTTCTTGGAAGCTGCCGTTTTAACTTTTGCAGTGACTCCTCTGGCCTGAATCTGGTCCAGATGCTGAGTTCTCTGGCAACCTGCAAGTCCTATGCTGTCCAGCTCACAGTCAATGCCCATGAAGACAGCGCAGCTGCCATTATGCTAGGTGCTGGTCACAGAAGTTCCCCTAGTCATTCCATCAGTAGCAGCACTCTTGAAGGCTTTGTGATGTTGGGGCTGTGCTTGGAGAGATGTCTGGGAATATGTGGGATGTACTCTGGGGCTCAAGGGGACAGTGGCACAGCATCAGGGCATAAAGAGGGTAACCACAGTTGTTGCAGTGACCCACTTCATGGAAGCATCATTGCTTACGTTCCCATCTGCTAAGGAATTCTCAGATTGGAGCACAGTGTCTGTTGCTGGCAGTGGGCACTGCTCCTATTCTCCCCTTTCTCACTGAAAAAATGTTTCTACTCCAGAAAATAAGTCAGCAAGTGGCCCTTTCAGGACTGCTCCCAGTGGGTGCAGGAGTCAAGGGTGCTGTACTTGAGGAAAGTATGTTCTTAGTTCTAGAGGATTAATGTGAGGAAATGAATCTCAGCCAGATCTAAATTTTACTCTTGCCTTCTTTTTTTTTTTTTTTAATTTGCTAAATCTCCATTGATCCCAGTTCTGCAAGATCCCAGTTCTCTTGACCTTACTGACTTTTTTTTTTATTATTTCTCCATAATGAGGAGAAAAAAGATGATTCCTAGGATGAGTTTCCATCAGTGGAATGCTCAGTGCTGACAGTTAGAAGCTGCTTTATTACGAGGCTGAGCCCATTTGACCCAGAATAGGAGACAATAGTCACAGAGCTGCAAGGGCTATGTTAAAATAGTTGTTTATCAGAGAGAATGACACTTTAAGTAAGCTCTAGTGTTACTACTAAATAGCTCTCCTTGCAAAGACATTTTTTCCCATCAGCTGTGCAAGCCTCAGTTATTCTCTGGCTTCCAAAGCCTTTATCCTCTAGAGAGTAAAGGTAATGCTACGCTTGCAGTTGTACCCCAGCAGCAGCTGGAGCTTGCTCAAGACCTATTGCCACTTTTTCATACTTCCGTGGCTTCCTATTATCTATTTCTTCAGCCGGAAAAGAAGAGAAAATCTCTGGACACTCGTTCAAAACTGAGATTTCTATCAACCCCTCAAGTCACGTGGGTGCTATCATGGTAAAATGCTAAGTGTTAAGGCAGATATTTGGAAGCAGAACTTTCCAGTGAGGAATCTCCCACAGCAGACAGTGACCTCTTTGTCTCCTAGGAAGAAGCCAAGTACATTCCCACCCATGATGGAAGGAGAGCAAAGCATGCAGTAGGAGTACAGGAGAGGATGCATCTCCTGTGCAGTATTTTTCCAGCTATTAAAAAAAGGAAAATCAATCCTATTCAACTTTAATCTTCTTCATATACTAACAGTCCTGCGGCTCCTGAAAACATGATGGTTGTCAGCAGGCTGGCTGTACTTTTTATACCAGAGGTAGCTTTGCAGCAAGGTAAAGGTTGCAATTTTAACCTGGCTGGGTGGCATAAACTCTGTTCATAAATGCACCATTGGGCTGACTGGTGTATATTCCTGTGGAAAATGAACTGGAGCTAAGGCTTGGAAAATTCTGTGTTAATGTGGAACCTTCCCTACTCCCAGAGGGGTTTTGTTTTTTAAATTAGATTTTTTATTTAATTATTTATTTGATTGACTCCAGCCTGAGAAACATTGTTTTTGTTGGGCAGGGGCACTTCTGGATTGAGACATGGACTTGACTGGGAGCTGAGAAAGGATTACATATCACTGACACACATCTGTCCTGTCTGGGCTGCTGCACACTGGGGCATCAAAGGCTCAAGCGTATGCAGGCGAATTGGTTTGAAGAGAAGCCATGTACAGAGGTGGAGGCATTAGAAGTGAGATGTGCGGGTGGATGGAGGAACAGTTAGTTTTTGTTTGTTTCTTCCCCCTCCCCTCCAAATATCTTTTGTGCACCAAACTCTTGAGGTGGGAGGGGGGTGGAGGGAAACATCTGCCTGTTCCTGTCTCTCGAGGTTCAGTCAGCTGAAATAGTTGCTATCTGAGTTACAAGGGCAGAATGGAAAGGAAAACCCAGTCAGTCCTTTCAACAGCTGATGGTGCTTGTGATCTCCACTGTAGTATATTCTCTGCTGCTGCTTAGGAGGGACGCTGCGCACTTCAGCCTAGCAATTCATAACTGCTCTCTGCTCTCTTCTGGAATCAAATATGGCAAAAAAAAAAGACGCAACTCAGTGTCCCCCAGCCTCTCCTCCCCAAGTGAGGTGGGCAGAAATTAAGTAAAAGACCTTCATTGCACTTAGGCTGTTACGAATGTAAGAAGGCCGCTAGAGGATGATCTCTTGAGCACTGATTTACTATGTACAAAGCAAACCTCTCTCCTGTCTGTCCCGAGATAACGTCCGTGATTTCCCTGTGTTCCTGTGTAATGGTTTTAATGTTACTCACTGGAGACATCAGAATTTCTGGAGTTATTTAACCACTGTGTTCAGTATTTTAGGGGTTGATGATAATTTAATATAAATTTAGCTTTTCTTAACCATTCTGCCTGGCTTTTGGTTGTGAATCGTGCATGGTATTTGGACTCCCCTTTGAAAGAGGCGCTCCCAGCTCTGTTTACACAGAACCCCACCTGTATTTCATTTGGGAGGAGCAAGAAGGCACAAGTGGATGTGGGTTGTCCTCGTGATGGGATTGTAGCACACACTTCTGCCACTAAGGCCTCAAAGCAAGGGTCAGATAGCTATGCTCACTTGCACATTCCCATATGCTCGCACTCTGCCCCAACCTGCTATTTTTGTTAGCATTTTAACACAGCAGCAGCCTAGGAGCATAGCCCTCTTTTTTGAAAGGAATTTAGGAGCACTGTGGTCTCCAGCACCGTACTACACCACAGGAACCTGTGGTTGTTTTGTGCCTCCGCCAACTAAAAAATGTGGCTCTGAAGAAGAGATGATTTTCATCTCTTTGAGTTTTCATTCAAGAACACGGAAGGCTAAACAACGACTGAAATGCTCGGAAATAACCATTCTGCAGTACTACTGCTCACCCGCTGTTCCCTTCTACCCAGCTCTGATGGAAATAAGTACCAAACACGATTTCAAATGCTTTAGTTTTATAGCTGCCCATCCTTACCCACAGATGACACATAGTGTAGAAGCGGCACAAGGGGCCGCGTCTCCAGCAGGCCGCTTCCAGCCGCGCTCCTTTACCTTGGGGTTACCATCTCTACCTCACTCCGAGGCTGCCGAAGCAGAGCAGTGGGCTGTGCCCCCACCTGCGGCCAGGAGCGGACTCGCCGGCCCCACGGCAGCGTGTCCGATCTGCCCACGGCAGTGCGCCGTCCTGAGCCAGCCCGGCAGTGTGCGGAGCACACAACGCTGCTGTCCGATTCAAACGGACCAATCAAGCGCGCTCTTGCGGGAGGGGGCGGGGCTGTCGGCGGCCAATGGGCGGCGAGGACACTGGGAGGTGCGGGCGGTGTTAGCGATTTCAAACCGCGCTGAGCAGCGGCTGGACACTCGCCGCGCCCGACCTGCCGGGCCCAGGTGAGATCCGCCCCCCGTTTGGCTTCTTCCGTGGGGGCCGCTTCCTTTTCTGTGTCGCCCGCCGCGCTTCGCCAGACCCGTGGGCCGCTGGGTAGGCCTCCGTTCTCTGTTGGGCCTGGCCTCCCGACCCCGTGAGGGGGCTGCGGAGGAGGTGTGGTCCGTGGTAGCCTCCCGTGGGAGCGGGCCCGGGCACGGGGGATTCATCCGAACCGCTTTCGTGACCCCGGGGAAGGCGATGGTTAACGGGGGAGGCCGCGGCCTGTGCTGCGGGGCTGTGAGGGGCGCCGGGGTGGCCGGGAGTTGCTGGGCTGGGCCGGCCCGGCCTATCCTTGGACTCGCTAAAGGAGGCTGTATGTAGAAGTAGTTTTGTTTGCATAACATCCTGGGGTAACGTTCCCTCAGGTGAGGATGGTCCTAAAGCAGAAGCCATGGAGGTATCTGTGTTTCTGAAGCCCTGGCACTGAGTTCAGTTGTTGGTCTGGGATTCCTTGTGTCCCTCGTCTGAAGGTGCTTCCTGCTGAGCCTCCTGTAGCACTCTCAAAGGGGAGCTGGCAGGAGTGGGGATTCCCACCGTTCTCCTGTGTTGTTGGATTCAGTCAGAATCCTGTGATTTGTCTCCAGGCAGGAGCTTTCAGGTTGCTGTGTAGGGGTTTTCCTCCTGAATTTGGATCTTTAACAACATTGAAGAGCAGGTGCTGGGAAATAAGAATTCTGTGCAGCACAAGCTGACCCTATCTCTGCTACTTAAAAAACAATGGAAGCTGCACATACCTCTAAACTCATGTGCTGTAACTTTCTATCTGGGTTTTTCTTTAATCTAGGTTTTTCTTCAGTATGTATCAGCTATGAAATTATCCTGTTTTTTTTGTTTGTTTGTTTGTTTTTTGTTTTTTTTCTGATTCTTATTTTGAGTGTTGTATGGTACTACTGAAAGCTCCTTTCTGCAGACAAGAACAGTATGTGTGAATGTTGGGATGCTGGGCTGTCAGCTATGGAGGAAAGCATGGCTACAGACTTGCAGTGAATGTATCTGTCGGGTTGAAATTGTGAAGCTGTATGTTCTCAGGCGCTGATAGCGGCTCAAATGTTGAAGTGTTACAAAAGGCTACAAACTATTGAAACTCCCCAGTAGTATTAAGTCAGAAAGAAGAATGAGGGTGTACAAGCTGTCATTATAACTGATGCTTTTGGTCGCTAATACTGGATCAGTTGATTATTTGAAGTTAGAGTTTAGTATGTCTGTCTCTTTCCCCAAGTTTGGCCTATTTTTCGACTGCTGGTTTTATAGCTTTCCTCCATTTAAAACTTGTAGATGTTTTTTCTTCACCCCTTTTAGATGGTTGCAATAGAGTTACAGCCTTAAGCTACAGAGAGAAATTGGTATATGAAAGTGGGCTCAACAAAAATGGACTGGTTCTAAATGAATTATTGCAGATGTATTTATTGAAGGTAATCCTAAAGAAAATTGGGACTATTAAGCAGGGGGTTAGCTATGGAGAAGATTATTTGTGACATCTGTACAGACATAGATGAAAACTTGATTTGAGAGGCACAAAGAATTAGTTAATCACACTGCTGGACTTCCCATTTGCTGGTCTTAATGTTAAAAACCAACTGCGTGGTAATGCGTTGTTATTCCTGATTCTCATACACACGTGACTTGAATCTGTGGGACCTGTATCCATGCTGACTCTTGGCCTCTCCTTCATACAGGCCTGTTATGTGATCTGGGCCTGTATTCCAAAATCCTGGGCTGTGCCACTGTGCAGCTGAACATCTACTGATGTCTGAGCTGTAAGCTCTCGTTCCCCTTTGGCAGTTCCAAAACCTGGTTTCTAGAATATATTAAGATTTGTTTTTCTCTCGTGTGTCTCTTTGGTGATAAATTTACAGCTGAAATTTACTTGGCATGTTGGGAGCTTTTTCAGTCAATCTTTTCTTATTTTTTCTTTTTCCTTTGCTATTCTGAGTAATTATCTGCCAACTGCAAGACTGCTGTTCACCCCTTTGATAGGTCATTATGTATATCTCAAACAGTGCACACAAATAGGAAATAGATCTGAATGTTTTGTGGAGTAGAGGTAAGCATCCCCAAATGCGAAGTATTTGATTTGAAGACTGTAGTGTGTAGGATGTACGACCTGAAGGACCCTCGTGAGGTCTAAGTACTTGCAAACCTTGTAATCAGGGATTTTCAAATCTGTGGCCAGCAATCGATTTCCTCTTCTCCCTTGCCATCTCTCCTCTCTTCCATTGTTCCAGCTAGGTGTCTTTTTCTGCCTTTTTAAAAGAAACATGTAAAAATGAAATATGTTATGGACAACTTAACAACATAGTAGGAATGGCTTGTGAATTCCCTGCTGGAGCAGGCTGGGATGAGGGCCACGTGCTCCTGCACAGAATGGCTGACTGTAAGCCGTGTGGCTCATGGAGTTGGTGCTGCCATAGGCTGCTCCTGTGTCGTCCTTGTCACATTGGCATTGCGAGGAGTGACATGGGAAAACCTGGTACCCTCATGCTTAAATTAAACATCGCCCTGCACTAAGCAGCACGCTGGGCCTTCTTGAAATAGAGCGTCTCCAGAACTGACCAAATGTGTGTTGTTTGAGGCTGTCTCTATGACAGCTCGGTTGCTGTGGACGTCGGAGGTTGGAAAGCAGAAGCGGTGGCGTGTGTTTGTTCCTCTGTGTTGTAGGGCTGAGATGAATGAAAAAGGAACTTCAATTATTCAGTGGGGCGTGGAGCAGCTGCTGCTACGGCTGTTCTTCATCTAGCTAAGATGATTCTGAAGGAGCACAGCCTCGCGTCGCGTATCTGACTCCCAAGGGAGGAAGCTGTCGGCACAGGGTTTCCACCATGGCAGCTCTTCCTCGGTTGCTACTGTCGCTAGAAAAGGCATCTCCCAGCGTCAGGTGACGGCTGGAGCGAGCCGATGAATCAGCTCTGCTGGGGCGCCGTCATCGCACGGCTGGCGTGCGGCACGAAGCGCGGCGGTGCCGCGGGGCGGCTCGCCGTTCGGAAGGCACGGCGCTTCTTGGCGGCGGGCGTCGTTCCTCCCGTCAGGCCGACGGCCCGAGGGACCGCCCCGCGAGGGACACCCGGGCCGCGCCCGCCCGTTTCGGCGTCGACCTCGTTTCCGCCAGCGCGGGGCCGGGGTGCCGAAGGCGATGACTCGCGAGGGCGGCGGGCCCCGCGACCCGGGCCGTTGACCGCCGCCGGCCCCGGGGAGCGCCCGGGGAAAAGGGGGTCGCGGAGGCGCCGGGTGGCCCGGCGCTGCCCTGCCCGCCTTTGTCTGGCCCCGGCGCGGCCCGGCTCCCCGCCCAGGTACGGCCGCGGCGCCCCCGGCCCCGCCCGCCGGCGGGGAGGTGCTTCCGCCGGGCCGGCCCCTCCGCCCGCCGCCGAGCCGAGCCGGCGCTGTCAGGTGAGCGGCGCGCGCTGAGCGGTAAGGCGCGGCGGCGGTGTAAACAATGCCGGGCCCGCGGGGCGGCCCGCCGCTCGACGGGAGGGGCCGGGGCGGGGGGGGGAGGGAGAGAAAGAGGGAAGGAGGCGGCAAGAGCGGGGCCGGGGGGCCGTGCGGGGGCGGCGGGGCTTCCTTCTGGAAGGTGCTGTGGCTGCGGGGAGGCCGCGGCGGCCGAGGGAGCTCCCGGTGCTTCCCGTAGGGGCCGTCCTCGGCGGCGGCGCGGGCCCTCCTTTTAAGGAACGTCCCGCCGGCCTCTGTGCGTCTGAGCTCGGGCAGCTCTTTCAGGGAGGGGCGGCGAGTGGGCGCTGCCCTGCTGCCGTCCCGCCGTCCCACTGTCCCGCTGTCGTCCCCCTGCCGATTACCCTAGGCGCACGGGTATGCCCCTGTGCTGCCCTTTTCTGCCCACACCTCTACACTGTAAGATTGGCTTTGCTCCGTGCTCACCCCGCTCCTAGGCAGAAACAGGAGGCCGGTTTTGACATTAAGATGTTGCTGAGCGTTGGGGCAGGTGAGAGAGAATGCGGTGCCGTTTACTCTCATATGCCATTTCATTGCTGCTAGAACCGGGAGAAGCTACCCTGCAAAGTACCTCGCAGCCTGCAAATGATTCCTTTTTGCCTTTTGTTTCTTGCATTTATCATTATTCTGAGGCCCTATGTCATCGAGAGTCCTGTGTGTTTCGCATCTTGAGATTGAAATTGCTACCTTCTAAAACCATAGGGATTTCATGCTGTCTCAGCATCAGACAGCCCTCTGAGTGGTGGTGCTTGCGTGTTAGTTTTTGAGCTGCTTGTTGCTGCATCTATCATTAAAAGATGGGTGCACTGAAGCTGGGAGGTGTGCTGGCGGTCTGATTGGATGTTCTTTTGACTCCTGTTTTTACCTCTTTAACTTTAGGAGTTTTAGCTGGACTTCAGTCTTCCTATGCAGAATTTGCTGAAGCGGCTTACTGCACTATTTATTTCACTGGTTGATTAGGCCACACGATTCTTCAGTTTGCATATTCATCTGAGTGTTGTTTAAGACAGAGAAACAAAACCCCTGTATTATGATTGCTTGAGTATTTTAAGCATTTTTCTGTGCTGCATAATGCTGTAGCTAATGAGTTTTAATTAATTTAAAACTTTAATTGGCAAGTACTGTAAAACATGCTGGGCTAAACTTATGAAACAGTGGAACTTCATATGTTGAGAGGCAAAGAGAGAATATGACCCCAAACTGCCATTAAACAAATAAAAATTCTTTCTGCTAGCAAAACCATGGACTGTACTGGCACAGAACTGTCCACAGAGAACTGTTGTCTCAGTGGAAATTATACCTTCACAATTTTATGTTAAAGTATGCACTCTAAGAACATTTCAAATGCAATTTTGCTTGGAAATGGGCTGTCTTCAGTAAGTCTTCAGAGCTTACTCTTTTGGGCAAACCTACTGAGAAGGCTACTTTGGCATCAAGCCTTCTGATATTTTAAAAGCTATTCTTGCTTGGCAGTGATGCTTAATAGGTGGAAGCAGGCAGGGATAAGTGGACAATTGGTATCAATAAACATCTGGTTTTTGTTTAGCACAAAATGGCTTCCTACTTTGCCTTCCCAGGAAAGAGAAACTTCATGACAGTGCACAGAGATTCCATAATAAATGTGCTTAAAAAAAAAAAAAAGTTTCAAAATATTTATGTCAGAAGGCTTTTCTTTAGTGATACCCCTATACTATAGAGCTGTAGGGTTGATGCTGTTCAGCCCTTCAGAATTTTAGCACAGAAAGCATTTATTTAGGAGCTGAGTAAGGAACTTTTCAGAGCAGTGTGTGGTTAATCCAAATATTCCCTTAGCATCCCTTCCACACATTCTCAATGCATTGATTTTTTTTTTTTAATTTTTTTTTTCCCCCCCAATAATTCAGTAACAAATTCTCACTTTACGTTTGAGCTTGTTGTGTTGCACTGTCCTGTAAGTATTTTTCTGCTCTTACATTGTCTCCCTTTGTAAGATATCCTATTCTCTCCTTGATGGCCTTCACTTTCTTACTGCTCCATTGCATGAGTTTGCTGTGCCAAGAACTGTCAGGGAGGATTTGTTGTTCATCTCCATTGCAGATTGCTCAGCTGACTTGCTTTTGTAAATGTTTCATTGACCGCCTTAATAACAACCCTCTCTCACAAAACTGATTTTGGTGCTTCAGTTGCTTCAGAGGTCCTGTTCTCTGGATGCTACCAAAATGAGCGCTGTTGCTGAAAGACTTATTAATCTTTTTGTTCTGAGTCTGTAAAATTAGTTGTGCTGACAAGTCAGCTATCTAGGTCAAGCACTTCACTGCTGCAGACTCACTAGTTGTAACACAATTTGGCTGCGTTATTGCGGTGTGAGGCTACTTTCTATTTGGGTGTTGAAAAGTAATGAGAAGAGTTGTTCATAACTTTGCAGGGAAACTTTTAAAGAAAGACTTTTGTCAAATGTGGGATATTCTTTGAACATTCAGAGTGCAGTAACTTAATTGAAGGGAGAAACAACAGTCTGTTATTCTGCTGAAGGCACGATGCAGGCAGCACAGGAATTCAGGATTGGGGCAGGTGTGAACAGTGATAAGATGGAGAGAATAAATATTTGGAAGCCAGCTCCCCCCCCCATGACCATGGAAAAACTGTTGGGCCCAAAGGGATTTGTATGTTGTCAGAGAGGACGTATAATTTTATCCCTATTTTTAGGCTCAAGATTCAGTGCGGAAGGCAACTGAACCCATTTTATAATTGAAGTAATGATTGTAGCTTTTGCAACTAAAAATAGTAGGAAACGGACTTGACCAGACTGAAAAGAAAAAAATAAAAGATGAGTGAGAGCATGGTACTGTTTTGCCCTCTCTGTTCCCCCATGTGAGAGTGTCTCATGATGTTGGGAAGGAAAATTCGGGATCCTTCTACTTTCTGTGATGTGGCAGTAAGATATGCAAGTCAGAGGTCACGCTTTGGGGCAGTGAACTGTTGTATGTATGTAAACATAAAAAATACTTGGAAATCTGTGATGCTTCTGATGTTAGTGCTTGAACTGATTTTAGGGTCGTAAAGAGGTAGTCAATATCCTGCAGTAAGATTTTCCTTGGTGGAGTGGATTTCTGGCACAAAGGAGATGCTCTCTTTTTACTGCTTATACTGTTTTATCTCCTGTTTTATCTGTGGTAGTTCTTTTCCTTCTGCTGGTTCCTTATGCTTTCCTTAAGAAAAGGAAAAAGCCAGGAAGTAGCTTGTACACTGCCCCCAAATTTGTGGTTAGTCTTGCAAACAACTTCTTACTAAGATCACTATTCTCATCAAGGACTGGTGTGTGCCTGGGGGAAAGCATTGTGCCTGTTTGTGACTTGCTTCTGCACTGGTGAGGTCGTCCAGTGATTTCTGTACTGATGTGTTAAGTTCTGTACTGCTACACTAATTATTCCTAACACAAATGCAACTTATATTACACGAGACACAGCTCCGCGAGTCTTTCTGCAGAGCTAACTTGATTGGTAAAGTCTGTTGTTGGAGCTGCATTCATACAAGGGTATTCCTGCATTCTTGACTAGGTGAGCTATTAAAAGAGCTTTCAATGTGAATGCAGCTTCATTTTTGCTTGTGGACTGTTGTAGTCTGGTTTCCCTATTGAGTTAGCTATTTGTGGCTGACAGATAGCTTTGCAGGACTTGCTTGTATTAACTTAGACTGATGAAATTATACTCCTAATCTAGGATTTATTTATTTGCAGGGAACTTCTGTGTGTATTTCAAATATGAAACACTTTTATCTAAAAAGTATATCATTTTACTGGCATAGGTTGAATTTACATTACAGATGTGTTAGATGTGTTTACATACAGTTATGTTAGCACTGTGTATTTATACACCTTCAGGGATAAATTATTGGATGGTGATGACCACTAGCTCTTGAAATCTGTCTCTTTGTGTATGTGTTTGAAATGGTGTGCTGGAATGTGTTACTCCTTGCCTGGATTGATTTAATTTGCTTCTGCAGTGTTGTGAGCTGTCTCAGTGCTGCTGAAACTTGCATGTCTAAGATGGCCATTGAGCCTGAGGTCTCATCTCTCATGCCCTAGTGGTCAGTGTTAATATTTTAAAGAGGAGAGAGGGATAAAACACTCCTACGACCTTGAACAAGTAATATTTGAGTCTGCATGCAGTAAGAAACTGGTCTCCTGGTGAGAGCAGTTGCCAGTGCTGGCTATTGTTGCAATTGGGGCATAAAGTGGCTAGCTAGCAAAAATGGATTTTGTTAGTCTCGTATCTCATAGTGCTGTTCATTTCAAATGCTCTGTTTGTGAAATAGTTAAAACAGCTGTCCTCACACTAATATGTGGTGATTTTTCAACCCTGATTCGTGGCACCTGCTGCAGAAAGCACGTCAGTAAGCATCAGTTTTCTAGTGGTGATCAGTACTCGTTTCTTCTTAGTTCCTTAACTGTGTATGTTCTTCCTCAAGCTTAGACAAAGGTGTGTTCTACATGCCTCGTGTTAGCTTACTGAAACATTAACAGATTGAGAATTCTGGTGTCAGAAGCATTGCAAATGGCAATACACTACTCGTCGGTGCCTTCTGGTGGCCTTTCAGGGCTAACAGATTTGTGGCCAAATCTTAGCAGATAGTATGTAAATACAACTGCAGGCTTGAAAGAGTGGGTTTCACATTAAATATTATATCTGCTTTAGAGCTGTCTTTTTTTTTTTTTTAATTTTCTGAACTGTGTTGCAAGTGGAATCTCGCTTTTTTTGTGTGTTATGTGTTCTAACTCTTGTCTCTGTCCACAGGAATTGCTGTAACTGTAGAGAGAACCTGAATTACGATGGGGGACGACAGTGAGTGGATGAAACTGCCCATCGACCAGAAGTGTGAACACAAGGTGGGAGATGCTGTCTGGGTTTGGCCTGCTGTGTATCTGTGCTGTGATACTTCTATGATATTCCTGTACCGAGTTATAACAAAGTTGACTTATTTTTGTAGCCACACAGTGTGCGTGTGTGTAAAAGGTCTGAAACAGTTAAGTAACACTCATGAAGCAGAGTTTAGTTGTGTGATAATCTAGATGGTGTAAGTTTGTGAGCCTAAAGATCAGTACACTTGTTCATGTGAATGTATTACTCATCTGTAGCTGAAAGTACTGTTGGGCTCACACCTACTCACTGGTGGTGGTTGCTAGAGCTGATGGAGAGCAGCGAGGAATACTAACGTATCTCTTTTTTCTGGGTTATTGTTGACAGGAAAGCAATGGGTATTTTGCCCTCTTGCACAGTATTTGTGTAGGGAAATTTTGCAGATGCCAGCTTACTGAGCACCCTTGCAGCTGTGATTGAAGTGCTTTGGTGAGATTAAGGTTATTAAGGTGATTGAGATTGAGTTAAGGTTTGTATTAGCGCAACACTTAAATGTTTGACTTCTACTTCCAGCTGTGGAAAGCCAGATTAAATGGCTATGAAGAAGCCCTTAAGCTCTTCCAGAAGATAGATGATGAGAAGAGTCCTGAATGGTCCAAATACCTTGGATTGATAAAGAAATTTGTGACGGACTCCAATGCAGTAGCACAGTTGAAAGGACTGGAAGCAGCACTTGCTTATGTTGAAAATGCTCATGTAGCTGGGAAGTAAGTAGCCTTTCCTTGCTATCAGTAGGCTGTTACGAGTTTTATGTCCCTCTCTGAGAAAGTCTGCAGATAAACTGTGCAGGGGTTGTAAACAGTTAGGGTATGTTGAGAACAGAAGTTGCTTTCTGATTTATAAAACCTGCTGAATAGTAGGTTTGTAGATGGATTCCACGTACCTGTTAATTTATCAGAAGTTGCTTTACATAATGCTTAATGAGAAAAGAGTGGTAAAGATTTCAGAAATGGTAGAGAAGTGAAACAGTTGGTGTTGTGAGCTGGGAACCCTCCTCTTGCTCGGCTGAAACAATGTGTATGTACATCTTTCCTAGCAGATACTCATGTAATTTATTTTTTAAATGAAATGTACTCATGTTTGTGGTGGTGTGCCCAGTTTAATCCATCTGAATCTGCATACTTGCTTATTTCTTCAAAGGGTGTTCCTAGTATTTTACATTATCTATCCCATGAAATAATGTTCTCCTGGGGGTGAAATAAAAGCACCTAATTGACCTCATTCATGCTTTGATCCACTGTCTTTAAATGACTTGATTATTTATTTTTAAATACTTTTTTTTAAATTAAAACCTTAATTTGGATGTCTAACAGCATTTCCAGGCCCCTGAATTCACAAGTGGTATAAATTGAGAGTACTGGGAGCTTTGACATAATCCCAGCAAACTATTTTCTGTTTATGCACCAGTGTTGTGTTACTATGATCTATACAATTCCTGGAGATGATGAATTAGTGTTTGTGTTTTTGAGATAAGGTCTTGTATTCACAATTTGGTGTAGTCCAGTATTAGGAACATGCAAAATAGCACTCAGTGTAAAGGAGTTCCATTGATTAAACTAGAGGGTAGTAAAATCACCTTTTACAGAAGATTATAACCTTCAAAGTTAACTTAGCTTTTATTGTGTGATGATTGAGTTTTCATCGTTGTTTTAGATGTTGTGTGTGCTTCTGTCTGTGGATAATGATGGAGAAAAACCAGTTCACTTAAATGTTCTAAAGGTAACTTTCTCTCATCTTTCAGGACAACAGGGGAAGTAGCTTCTGGAGTTGTAAATAAAGTATTCAATCAGCCAAAAGCCAGAGCAAAGGAGCTGGGTGTAGATATCTGTCTTATGTATATAGAAATTGAGAAAGGGGAGGCAGTACAAGAAGAATTACTAAAGGGTCTCGACAACAAAAACCCGAAAATCATAGTTGCTTGTATAGAGACACTGAGGAAAGCACTAAGGTAAGCTTCTGGGTTTGGGGCTGTGGTGTTTGTTTTGGTGCTGCTTTTTCTTCCTCACCCCACAGAACGTATATCCATCCAGTGTTTTTAGCAGGCTGTCTGTACTGAACTGATTATTTTTAAGGTGACAACAGTTGTGAGAATTTCACAACTCTTCTGAACAGCTGAGATAAAGTCAGTGATGGGAAAGCTGAAATTCATTCGGTTTGTTTCAAGTTTTTCCTCACTGATGCATGCACTTCTGGTTGGCTGCATTGTTGGTTTGTTTTTTTTAAATGCTCATTACACATAAGTTTATTTTGAAGAGCTGTCTCTGTCAGTTTCTACTGTCCATATAAGAATTTTGTCATTGAAAACAAAAGCTGATAATACTTTCTGAAAACCAAATCTTGTTGAAGATAGGGTAGTTGGTTTCAGGGTTAGAATTGCAGTACCTGTTTGCTTTTGTTTCATTCTGAGTGAATTTCCTGCTGATAATTCTGGTATTAGTGAGGCCAGAATACCTTTTCCTGCAAAAATAATTATTATAATGAAGTAATTAGTGTGAAAACACTGCCGTACAGGTGAAGAATACCTTATGGTTGATATCTGGTAGTAAATTTGCTGAAGTACGTGCGTTGATGGTCGTTTTTACACTAAATGGGTGCTGTAAGCAAAGCTTTATTTTAGGTTCTGCCAAATGTCCTACTTTTAAGAGCGTATTTTACCTATTTTAAATTGCCTTATCTCTTTAACAGTATGGTATAATTAGAAAACGGTGCAACCTTCCTCAATATCTCCCTACCAACCATGTTTATTAAACGTGCCTTCTTTATATATATTGTATTGAATATGTTGTATTATGCTTTAGGTCGCAAGATCAATTTATGTCATGGGGCTCTATTAATCTTCTGCTTTAGAATTGTGCTTTCAGAGTTTCTGCATTGATAGCAAGATTTACGTCTTGTACCTAAATGGGTAACTTGGCTACATAACTAGTTAAGCTTCCAGTGTTTTTTATATTATGCTGAAATGTTTTTATTCCTTGTGTTGTTACAAGAATTGGAGTAGTCTGCTGTTCCTCTAAGTTCTCATTCTCAATAGCTCCTTTTTCTAGTATGCTCCTTATTTTAACCGTGGTGTAAAAACAGGCTTGTGCCTTTCATTTGTTCGCATTCTATAATTGTTACTTCTAATACTGGAGCCTCTTTTGTGTGTTTGTTTACCTCACATTTCTCATACAGTGAGACTCGTAATAAAGCTTCTAGCAGTAACATTTTTAGAGCTTAAATATGCAACTGTTTTTTAGTAGCTGTTTTTTTTACTAGCGTTTTCATGAAGTACTTAGCTGAACAGAAGCAGAAGTGTGACTAGAAAGTTTAGAGCTCTCAAGAAAGAAGAGCTGTCCTGAATCGGTATTCTGTGGCTTCTGATGTGACTTAGCAAACTGCTGCCGTTCTTCAAGTATTCCTATGGGCATCTAAAGAAAACTTGTTTTCGCTCAACAGTTGATTGAGAAATGAAATGTGTGTTAAGTTCAACAATATATAGAATCTGCTGACAGGGAAGGTTGGCTGGGGAAACCTGTTCTGTGTGTCCTTTCAGCTGCACACATTTTAACATGTGTATTTTTTGTGAGGATGACCCAGGCTTACTATAATTATCTAGTGCAACAAGTGGTAAAATGACTAATGCTTTTACTGCAGTTTGCCTCCAAGGATAGACAAAGGAGATTCTATTTATTCTGATTAAAAAAAAAAAAAAAAAAAAGAAAAAAAATTAAATTTTAAAAAAATTTTTTTTTTTTTTTTTTTTTTCTTCCTTCTTGGCAAGGAAACTGATTTAGGCAATGGATTGGATTAAATGTTTTGAAGTAATTTTAGCAGAGGCCTGGTATTGTAATTCTGATTGGCTTGGGGAAAGTGATTATGATTGGGGAAATATTCTTTTAATTGTGCAGCAGCTGAATAATGTCATAAAAAGAAACAAGGATTTGAATAAATAACATTTTCTGCATGTACTGCACATCACAATTTGTTGGTTTTTTTTAATCACTTTTTGTGGCTCCTGTTTGGACTCTGATGCTATGCCATGTTTTTAACTTTCAGTGAATTTGGTTCAAAAATAATCTCACTGAAGCCAATCATTAAAGTATTGCCAAAACTGTTTGAGTCTCGGGAAAAGGCTGTTCGTGATGAAGCCAAACTCCTTGCTGTGGAGATCTACCGTTGGATAAGGGATGCTCTGAGACCTCCCCTGCAGAATATAAATTCTGTTCAGGTAGGTAGAAGATAATGCTGTAACCAGACAGTTGAGAAAGCACTTCTACACATGTGTGCTTGTGGCCCTGATCCCACGATGTTTGTCAAAGCTGGAATCTTCCATTAATGAGGCATTATTTTTTAGTTTCCTGTAACAGAGCTGAAGACTTCAGTCCCTCTTTGTGGTTTCCAAAGGGGATAACAAAAAATTCTGCTTCATTTGTACTGGAACTCAGGAGGGCATTTAGAAAAGTAGAGAAGCTTGTCACAGAGACCTTAGCTAAGGGCAAATAACTAGTGGTGTAAAAAGACCCGCAGATGGAAGTGGTCAGGTCTGCATTTACAGTGTTTGTTTCCTTATATGATAACAGTTCCACTGCAGGAAGTGTTATGTTGTGATAGATAACTGGAACATTCCATTATTTTTGAACTTTCTAAATTACTGATGTATCTTTCTTTCCTATCCACATATTCATTTTGTTTTGTGGAAAGCAGTAGATTTCTGGAGCAAGGCAGAACTGTTGTTTATTTTTTAAACTGCCTGGTCAAATATAACTCAAAGTGTTCGTTTTGTCTTAGCCCTGTCTTCAGATATTAAGACTATAATAAGAATCTTTCTCCATGTTCACCCAGTCATATTTTAAACCTTTAGTGGCCTGACCGTTCTACAGCTTGTTCTGAAGTAAATGCTTGGCATTAGCACTTTTGTTTTTGATGCTCTGCTATGTGAGTACATCTGTTCAAAAGATTCTGAACAGTGAGTGTGAAGAAATCACTTAAAATTTAGCAGCATCTTAAACTTGTAATGGGAAATCTCCAGTGCTTTCTATGAGGTGTTTCTTGTCTGTGGTATGCACAAAATGTTGTAGATACTATGACTTTTTTCCTTTGACAGCTAAAAGAACTGGAAGAAGAGTGGGTCAAAGTGTCATCAGCTGCTCCTAAGCAGACCAGGTTCCTGCGTTCCCAACAGGAGCTGAAAGCAAAATTTGAGCAGCAACAGGCAGCTGGAGGAGATGGAGATGGAGGTAAACTATCTCTCTACTCCATTGGGAAGCTAATCATGGGTATGTTCTTGAGAAATGCATTGAATTGTAAAGGTTCTTCCATTCAAACTGATAGAGAACGTGGGATGCATTGCACCACGTAAGAATATGGCTAGGGTAAGAACTTTACATGATAGTATCTATCCTTTGGCATAGCAAATTCACAGTTGCTGACACTGTTTTGTAAGTGAGCCTTAGACAGTAGTGTGCTTGAAATTGCACTTATTGTGCAGCTTGTTTTTCTCCCTTCTGTTGCAGGAGATGATGATGAGGAAGAAGCAGTACCACAAGTAGATGCATATGAGTTGCTTGAAGCTGTAGAAATTCTTTCAAAGCTTCCGAAGGACTTCTATGAGAAAATAGTAAGCATAAACTTTAATTCCACTGGTTAATTCTGTGGCATGTAACAGACTAGTTTAAGCAAATAATAAACTGTCATAAGTAAGTCTCAAGCTTTTGTTTTTACCATTAAGAAAGCTGTAATTCTAAGGAGCTGAGATACATCCTGGGAAAGGACTTTGTTTCATCTTTCACTGCAGTCGATGTTGAGCTTTAGGGAAACTTTAAAAGATTTGGTTTTCTCTGAATAGAGTTGAGCTCTAAAATCTATGGCTTGTGGCAAATAAGATTCTCTAGGGCTGTTTAGATTTATGAATTAATCTAAGTGACTTGCTTTGCAGGAAGCAAAAAAGTGGCAGGAAAGGAAAGAAGCTCTAGAGGCTGTGGAATTGCTGGTGAAAAATCCAAAGTTAGAATCAGGAGACTATGCAGACTTGGTGAAAGTTCTCAAAAAGGTAATGAAACACAGTGTATGCATATGGTTTAATTATTATTTTTTTAATATGATTTCATTGTATTTAAGTTCAAAAATTTTGATTAAGATAATGCTCAGGAGCCTGAACTTCTTAGTTGGAACAGTGGTGGAAGTAATCTTGTCTGTAGCCTGCTGATCCGACTAAGAGACTTCTCTGAGTCCCTGAAGTCTTCCACCTTTTGTTACTTTTTCCTTTTCAGGTTGTTGGAAAGGATACAAATGTTATGCTGGTTGCTTTAGCTGCCAAATGCCTTGCTGGACTGGCTTCTGGCCTCCGAAAGAAATTTGGACAATATGCAGGACATGTAAGTATGAGGATGTAAGGCTTTTTCCCCTGTTTTGTTTTGTTTTTGTTGGTGGTGCTGGCCACCAAGAACACTGGGGGGTTGGGGAGAAGGGTTGGTTTGTTTATTTGTCAGTGCTTGGTATTTATGAAAGATATGATTTTGTAGTATTACAAATATTGGTCTCCATCTTGATGGATTAAGAAGTGAAGTTACTTGCAGCTTAAGGATAAAAGGACAGTGTTTATTCACGTTCAGTGGTATAAAGCTTACTGGTACAATGAATCTTGTGTATGAAGACTGCTCTGAGTTCACTTTTCATAAGATGAACTTATTTATATTGCCTCATGCTGGAGGTACACCCGCAGAAGTGCACTTGTAGCACACGGAGGTGGGGGAAGCATTTCTGAGCCTGAGGTCTACTTAGTGCCATCATGTGTAGTTGTTAGTTCTGGTTTTACTTGTTTGGTTGTTCAAAGCAGGTAACAAAACTACTGAGTTTTCTTCGGCACTAAAATGTTCGGGTGATCTAGCTTAATACTCTTCTCTCCTTTTGCAACTCTTGTCTTAGTAACAGCGCTACCAAGAAAGCTGTGGAAGTATTTGCATTTATCTCACTTCTTTCTCAAGAGAGTCACTGTTGCTGTGGTCTTTAAGCTGTTTGACTTTAAGTTTTCTTGTGATGCATGAGAGGATACGTAAGGGAGAGCTGAGGGTAAAGCTGAGGGAAGTGGAGAAATTGTGCCTGGCAGCTATTAGTGTTATGTTTTATGGTGAGTTGTGAAGTTACTGAATGTCATTGCTTCAAAGTCTTCAGGTCTCTTGAACTCTGAACAAAAGTTTGGGCAAAGATAATTTCATTCTGAATGCTGCCTGTTGTTATGAGGAACATGGTTGTTTTTACTTATTTATTTTGAAGCGCTTAAGGCTTTGCAAACAGGAATTGGCAAGGGTTACCAACACAAAGATGCCACCTGAGCTTTGTTCACTGTGTCATAATGAGCTGAGATCTTGTGGTCAAATTCTGTGTAGAAAGAGGTATCTGTAGGAAGACCTGTTTTCTATTATGCAAGAGCTTGTAATGAGTAACTAGATGGCTTCTAAACTGTCAACTCTGATATGCTTACAGAAATGTCAAAAGTAGCCTGCTTTTCACTACTAAAAGCTCTGCATGTCTCTGGTTAAACATCAGAATTTCTTATGTTACCAATAGTGTAGGTTACAGAGGCTGTAGTTAAGTAGACCTCCTCTTATTACCAGCACATTGGAGAGTCATCTGTATCTGGTTGACTGAGAAGCTATATTGAGTCTAAATTGCAGAGAAGCTCTGATGTGGTGTGGTTTAATTATCAGGTGTGCTTTTTCAAGTTAATAAATCCAAAAATATCCTGCTTGGAAGGGATGCAGCTGTAGGAAAGGTTCAGGCTTTCACAACTGGAAAGACAGTGTTCTAGTCAAATAAGAGCATCTTGGACAGTGGTGCTGAATGCTGTGAGGATGCTGGGAAATGGGACTGTGTGTGTATATATGCATACATACACAACCTTTGATTCTTAAAAAATGAGAACATAGTGTTCTACTGTGGAACTGTTTCCTATCAATGTCTCTGTATTTCACAACAGTAGGTCCAGAATGTTCACTTGTGAATTTAATACTTGCCTCTTTCTTAGCTTTTCTGTGTAACTGCTCAAAAATCATTATTTATTAATAGATTGAGTGGAAAGAATTTTATATTGGAGAAAAGCTGGAATAGACTAGTTCATCCTGCTGTTGTATGCCCAATGGGGTAGGAGAGATGCTAATTTGCTTTGCTTCTTTGTGAAACATCAGGGAACAAATTTTCATGTTTCACAATTATGTTAGCGAAGAGTGGATTGACTTTTTTTTAATCTCTTCCACAGGTTGTTCCAACAATCTTAGAGAAATTTAAAGAGAAGAAACCTCAGGTAGTGCAAGCACTGCAGGAAGCCATTGATGCAATCTTTCTTACTGTAAGTAAAACGCTGAAAACTTTCCCACTGTGTCTGAGAATTGGTGTCTTTTTATTTGCTTTTTTTGTTCCTTTACTGAAAGTAGTATCTTTTTTCTCTGTAGACCACATTGCAGAACATAAGTGAAGATGTGTTGGCAGTGATGGACAACAAAAATCCAACAATTAAGCAGCAGACATCCCTTTTCATTGCAAGAAGCTTTCGACACTGCACACCTTCTACTCTGCCAAAAAGTCTGTTGAAACCTTTCTGTGCTGCACTTCTCAAGGTAAAAAAGGAGAAGGAATTAGTACTTCTCTGATGCTGACTTGAAATGTTGGTGTGAAGCATCAGATTGTTTTGGGAGAAAGAAATCTGATAGTGCAGGGGCTAAAAAGCTTGTGTACTATATGGCTGTCAGTGAATTCTGACTGATATGGAAGTGGAAGATGACTTGGTCATGGAAATTGCTAAGAAGAGACTAAACTATCTCTAAAACTGAAAACTCACCTAGTTTGTAGTAAAGACGTTGGTTTGGACGTTGACAAATGCTTCTTGCAGATATTCATAGCAAGCTTTGATTAGAGTGCTGCATCTAATTTGCCATGGGTAAAAACTTCTGTCTATGCATAGACTGCATGTACACTGGAGAACTTCCAGTGTAATCAAAATTTGTACACTTCATTATGTGTTTCCATTTCTTTTGTCTGGGTGAATTCCTTGGCTTTTAAAATGGAGATTTGGAAAGGGTTGTGGGATTTTAAATTTCTTAGAAGCTTTTATGGTGTTTCAGTATTTCTTAAAGCTAAAATGTTCTTCCTTTTCTTGCTGTATGAGAGATCTAAGGATGGGAAGCAGCCTGTATTTGAGAAAAGAGTAGATCAAGATATGAAGAAACAGAGTAGACAACTTCTCTTTCTTTCTATAATGGAATGGAATATTAAGTATTACGCTGTATTGATTGTAAGTTTTATTAAAAGGTTGGAACAGATTTATACAGATCATGAGTTTAAACGCTTGTTTAGATGTGAGCTGCAAACTTTGTGATGCGTGCTGTATTTCTTGGCAGCATATCAATGATTCTGCTCCTGAAGTTAGAGATGCTGGTTTTGAAGCATTAGGCACTGCATTGAAGGTTGCTGGAGAGAAAGCTGTGAATCCTTTTCTAGCAGATGTCGACAAACTAAAGCTTGATCGGGTGAGTTTATGAAATGTAAAATGCTCAATTTATCCATGTAAAATGCATTTCAGTAAAGAGGATGAGAAGAGGTACTTCAGTCAATGTTTTGCCACAGTTGTTTTGAAAGTGTCCTACTTAAAAGTTACTATCGGAGCAGGAAGACTGGAAAAAGACTTTCAAAATTTTTTGTTAAATATTGAGTATCCTTTCTTTGACTCAGTACCTAAAATGTATTGATATGCAAACACTGCACCTTCTCATTCTTTAATATAATGTGTGTTTGGCTTTAAGAGTTGGTGAAATGGCTTGATTTCTTTTTTGGTTGGTGGGTTGTTTTCCAAATTCTTCTTTCTCTGAAACAGATCTCAATGTGTTTGTGACTTAATTCCCTCACTTAGCTCTATATTTTAAGACAGCATTTGATATTCAGTCTTTACTTCCCTACACAAAGTTTTTGTACTTTTGTGTAAGTTAACAGGTTGGAATGATGACTTGATTATTGTGCTAAGAATTAGTCTTTAGAGCATCTGCATCTGAAAGGAGTTCTCTCAACTCTCCATGCTTCATTTTGAACTAAGAAAATGAACAATATAACAGGAGGTGATGCTATTGACTAGTTAACGTTAGTGCTGTAATACAGGTAGCTGAACTTTGTTAACTGAGGAACTTAATATTTCTAGAATAGCAAAGTTTGAGCCACTGCTGAGAAAATAAACTACACCTCGTCGTGGCAGCTAAACAGATATTTCTTTACATTTTTGTTTTGTTTTGAAACACTTTGTCAGATTAAAGAGTGTGCAGAGAAGGTAGAACTGGTTTATGGTAAAAAGGCTGGAGCTGCTGAGAAGAAAGAAGGCAAGCCTGTTGCTGGAAAGACACCTGCGCTTTCAGGCACTGCTGGAGATAAAGAAATAAAAGATGCAGCAGCCAAGCCAGGACCACAGAAAAAAGCACCTGCTGTGAAAGTAAGAGATTGTCAAGAGGTTATTGACAGTTCTATTTGTCTGTGATTGTATTGACTATAACTAGTTGCTATCTTGAAGATCAAATGTAACAGTTACGGTACTAGAAATACATCTTCCAAATGTGTGTTTTGATGTCAGAATGCGGAGGTATAGGAAAAACAGCAGTTCATTTAGAATCTGATGAGTTGGAGAGCTGTTTGATCTCTGCTAATTTGTGCTTCCTTTCTAGCCTGGGGGCCCACCTAAGAAAAGCAAACCAGCTGCAGCTGCAGGTACAGGAGGTGCTGGAGCTAAAGGCAAGAAGGGTCCTGAGACCAAAGAGATATTTGAATCTGAGCTCTCGGTAAGTGTCTTGCTTTTATCCAAAATAAAGTGTTCTGTGTACATAGTCAGTCAGTTCTTCAGCTACTACATTTTTTCACTGCAGTATCTTTCTTGGGTAAGGAAAAGCAGTGTATTTAAATAGAATTCATAACTGGCAAAATGGGTGTTTGATGTACTCTGGCAAATACGCACTTATTGTATTGGCTGGCTTTGGTACCAGGTCATAAAAGCAGTAAACGTTATCAAGCTAGTGTAATGATCAGTGGTGTTACTGAATTAGAAACAGATGTAGAAGATAGAGATAACTACTTACAGTGTAATTATGGATGTATGATTTGCTGTCTGGCATTAAAAGCTTGAAAATATGATATTCTGGAGTTAGTTATGCTTCAGATTTCAAACTAATAATAAACTAAGTCAGATTTCTTGCATGCTGCTCAGTTGGGGATGAGCCAAGAACGCATCGGAAATCTGTGTGTTAATGGAATCATTCATATAGTATATATACATATGGGTTAGATGCTGTTTCTACTTAAGAAAAAAACAACCTTTTCCCTTCCATATCCTTTCAGTAGATTAGTCTATCTCATTCCCCATCTGTGGATCGAGCAGTAACAAAAAGCTGCTTAAGTTCTGACTTGCTCCTTTTCAAAATCAATTTGCAGTTTAAGCTGTCAGCTACCTTTAGGAAGTGTTCTTTAGTATGAGTATATATATTATATACGGCACAAAATGAGGATACAGTTCTTGAGAATAGTACAGGTACCAGAGATGCAAAGGGAACTTTTACTATGTTTCGTTTTCAGAGTAACTTGAATTCATTCCATTAAGATGGACGTGGAAGGTGTCTTCTCCTGTCCACCACTATTCTCTGATTAATTGCTATGAAATCCCAACTTCATACAAAATTATCTTGTATACTTCAGTTTATTTTTGCTTGATTCTTTAAGTAATGTCTACCTGGTATCATTTTTGACTGTGCAACTGAAACTTTTCAGGGATTATTTTTCTGTTGCAATATGATTTAGCAGCTTTCTAAGCTCTGTATTGTAACCTATACAAAATGCAAAACCCTTATATTGTAATCTGTACAAAATGCTTCAACCTACAGCAGAACTTTGTCATTATGGTGTCATAATGGTGACTTAATTAAGTCATATGGTGACTTAAATTTTGTAAATGCATCGAAGAGCAGGAGTTGTTCACGAACATTATATGTCCCTAGCTCTGTTCTTCCTACTAACGCAGAATCCTGTGGGATGTGTTATTCTTATTCTGTTCTGTCTGCAGATAGAAGTTTGTGAGGAGAAAGCTGCTGCTGTCCTTCCAGCTTCCTGTATCCAGCAGCTGGACAGTGGTAACTGGAAAGAGAGACTTGCCTCCATGGAAGAGTTTCAGAAGGTGAGTTTTGCAACAACTGATAAAAGGAGAAATGGGGGAGAAGAAAGCAAGAAATAATTTCTTCAGCTTGTTTTAGGCCTGGTAGCTCTCTTTTAAAGAGAAATGCCAGAGTAGCAGTAGGTCAGAATGCTGTTTCAGATAAGTTAAACAATACTTGCAAAATACCAGGGGCGTACATGGTTTAAATTAACTCTTAATCCATAACTGTGGTGCAGTAACTTTCTTAATTTGATGTAGATATGGTTTTATGAGAAGCATTTGAAGCATATACATGGACTGAAGATGCGTATATACAGGTCTATTAAAAATATAAAGTAATTATAAAGGTTTTGGAATGATTTGTGCAAAAACACTTGCAAGTCCCCATTGGTTGCATTTTAAGCAGGGACTGAGCATAATATCAAAGTTTCAGTTAGTAAATAGTTTGAAACTTATGACAGCAATATTAGTATTCATAACTGGTAGTAAGGGCTTCACGTAGTTACAAACGTGGTCTACTACAAAAACTGGGATGTGAAGCCTGATTATTTTTTTTCTTCCTGCGGTATCATAAAACTTTTGAGAATTTGCGTTCAAAAAGCAATCAACGTTGATGTACAAGTAGTTCATACCATTGTATTGCAGATTAATTTTTAATTTAAAAATTGAGTTTTAATATTTTAGTGGAAGTGCTGACTGACTGAAATTATGGAACAGTGCTGTTACTGGCAGCACTGAAATATTGCTGCAAAAGCTTAAGCAGATTTACTGAAATATGAGGATGTTATAGTTTCAGTGGAATGCCTTTGTGGGGAGGAGGGGCTACATTAAGGCTTAGTCTCTGCTTTGTAGTCAGCTTTCTAGATGGGCTACTTACTAAATGTTACACTTCCAGATTTGGAATGGCCAACAAGTGCTTGTAAATACACTTAAAGGATAAACAAAGTGTAGAAGTATGAACACTTCCACCAAAATGTTGGCTCAGTGTGTGTAAAATGGGCTCCTTGCAGGAATGGGTCTTATAGTAAGGCTGTTCAGGTAAATTCTTATGCTGAGGATTTCTGCAACTTAGTGTAATATTAAGAAAACACTTGCATGACAATTCAGGTAATTTCCATTTGTGTGGATGTTTGGTGTTTGTTTGTTTGTTGGTGTTTTTTTTTTCTCTTCTTTCATTTGTGACCTTTTGGTTAACTTTTCATGTTTATCCTTAAGGCTGTTGAGCTTATGGAGAGAAGTGAAATGCCTTGCCAAGCTCTAGTAAGAATGCTGGCCAAGAAACCTGGTTGGAAGGAAACAAACTTTCAGGTAATACATCTTTATCTCAGTAAGCAGCAGTTCATTTTTATTACTTAATGTAAGCTGTTTTTCCAACTGAAAAAAGGCCCTTGCTGTATATATGTTATTGTTTTAGTGCAGTCTAATGAGAATATATACTCTAAAATCAGATTTCTTTTTTGCTTATAATTGAGACTTCAGGAGACACTTGAATGTGTCTAGATGTATATTGGTGTTTGTGTATATGCATATATAGGTATAGATAAATTCTAAAAGCTAGTAATGTTTGCTCAGTATTGATTGTGTATTAAAATGTGTATACACATTCAGACTTATGTTTATATAAACATTTATATATAGTTTATATTCAGACAAATGCATGTATGTACTTGAGTAGACACAATTTAATAGAAAAAATGCAATTTGTATTTCTTACATTAAATACGTATACACTTTTTAGAGGTCTAAAATATATAAAAGTGAGTGACTTCCTTGCTATTACGAACATTCCAGGTGATGCAGATGAAACTGCATATAGTTGCATTGATTGCACAGAAAGGAAACTTCTCCAAGACTTCAGCACAGGTTGTATTGGATGGTCTTGTAGACAAGGTTGGTGATGTGAAATGTGGGAGCAATGCAAAAGAAGCCATGACAGCAATAGCTGAGGCATGCCAACTGCCATGGACTGCTGAGCAGGTGAGTGGATAGCAAAGTATTCTTCTGTTAAAGACAGAGATGTGTTCTTTCAGGGAATTTCAGGGAAAATCAGGGAAGAAGTCTTCAGTCTTCATGCGTTTTCTGTTTTGTTTTCCTGTGCTGCTCAGCACAGGGGAGTTTGAAGGTATCTCTTGGGATAGCTGTTAAATGCAAAAATAATGGTAGTAAATAGGTCCCTTTCTGAAAATAATGTAATAAACATTTTTAAAAATGTTTTGGGGGGGGAAAAAAAGCCACTTGTACACTTCTGTAATATAGCTGATCTCTGAAAGCCTTTTAGTACTTTAATAACTTCTGGTTTACTTCAGTTGCAATTATATTATGTTACAGTGACACAACAAATTTTGCCTTGGTTGTTACCCCCAGCTCTTGGTTTATTTGCACTACCCTGATTTTTGCAGGTATTATCACTCATTTACGTATAATAGTTCTTTGTCACCTGGCTTGCTAATGAAAACTCAAGCTTTACTTTTCTCTTCCAGGTTGTGGCTATGGCTTTCTCTCAAAAGAACCCTAAAAACCAGTCGGAAACTTTGAACTGGCTCTCAAATGCAATTAAAGAGTTTGGCTTTTCTGGGTATGTCTTCCAAGAGAAATTTGAGTCCGTGTTTTTTTATCTTGGGCTAAAGATTTGTTCTTGAGAGTGCAAGTGCACTGAACTTTTACTTCTTTCAGCTCTGATACTGACTTTATCAGCTGCTCTTCCAGTTCTAAACGTGTAAACAAAAACATCTGACAGGAATAATAAGGTTGCATCCTTTATTAAATGATCCCTTCTCGTTGGGGCTTCTCTGAAGAGTCTTAATCTACATATGGAAGTGGGATGAGTAATAGTTTTGGTACATCTATGCTCTGATGCATCCCAATGTAGTTTTGTTTGTCACAGTATAGAGGAATATGTACTGGGATGCTTATTTTTCTCATTAGGGTAGATTTCTAGGGTGATGTTTTAGCCAACACAATTACTGCTTCTGATGCTGGATGGGGTAGAAAATAAGTTTTTCATTAGAACCAGTGTAACATTCCTTAGTTTCTCAGCACCTATCTCTTAACTGAATGCTCTCTATTACGTGTATACAGTAATGTGCCATTTACTTCAGAGAACAAACTTCTGATTGTTGGATCAGCAATCAAATGCTAGTTTAGTTGATTGCTTAGGCAGTTACTTTGACTGGATTACACAACAGCCATGAAATGGGTAGTTGCATGGATTAAGTCTTGGGAACTTTTTTCAGTAGCAATTCATATTTGGACAAATTCCACAAAAAGTGTATTTCCACCAGAGTAATGTATGGAGATGATAATAGAACAGTGGTGTTTGAAACCATACGAAGGAAGCTTCCATGTTGACCCATCTATTTTCTGTTGCTACGCAGTGGTGGTATAGAAGGTTAAGTAATCTAAACCTTCCTTCTTTCTCTTGCTAATTACTGATTCTGAAATTTGGACCTTTTTCAGCAAGATCCTGGTACAGGTTCACAAAAAAATGCTTTTTATTGTGTAGCCACATTTCAGGTGCTTAAAATGGTACAAGACTTGTTCCTTTGGATTTTAGTACTAGCAATCTCAGGATTGTAGTAATATAAGAAGCTCTACAACTCTAATAAATAGCATTTGATGTTAGTTATCTTAGGTTTACTGTGCTGACTTTCATAGCAGCTAATTCCCAAAACTGATCTATTTAATTAGTACCCTGTACTTAAGATGTTAATGTGTGAATATTTTCTGCTTCTCGGTGATTTCTCATTCCCATTGCATTTTTATTTTATTTTTTTTTTTTTTAAGTTTTTAGTATGCTATGATTGTTTTGGTTGGTTTGTTTGTACTCATGGGAATGTGATTTTTTTTTTTTTTTTTTTTTTTTCCACAGATTGAATGTCAAAGCTTTCATTAGTAATGTGAAGACAGCTCTTGCTGCAACTAACCCAGTAAGAAAATTTATTTTAATCCAGAATTTTGATCAGTCCTTAATGTGAAGACTGAACACTTTTTATCACCTTTCTGTCAGGCTGTAAGGACTTCTGCCATTACCTTGCTGGGAGTCATGTATCTTTATGTGGGACCATCTTTACGAATGTTTTTTGAGGATGAAAAGCCAGCCCTTCTCTCTCAGATTGATGCAGAATTTGAAAAGGTATGAAGTGTAGCATTCTTAATACCAAATATCACTAAAACTACTTGGAAACAACAGTAGTTGGAATGTGTACTAATACTGTGGGTCTAGCCTTTGATTTTGTTTTAAGTGAACCAGATTTCTGAAGATAGCAGCTGCTTTGGTGAGCTAAATGTGTCGTGCCTAGCTATGCCAATAGTTTTTTTTTTCCTGTGACAGATTGCAAAAGCTCTTGTTCCTGGGTTTGGGTTTGTTTTTTTTTTTTTTTTTTTTTTTTGAGTATTATGTTTTAAAATCTTTGATACTGAAATAGTGTATTTGTGTTGTATGAGTGCCTTTATTTTTAATGTCAAACTCTAAAATAGCCATTGTAAGCTTTTGTTGCTTGCAGATGCAAGGACAGACAGCACCAGCCCCAACTCGTGGCATTTCCAGGCACAGTGGAGGAAGTGGGGATGATGGTGAGGAAGAGGAACAGGAAGATGTTGGGAATGATGTTGTGGATCTTCTGCCAAGAACAGATATTGGGTACATTTATATTCTGCAACTTGAAGACATTTGCACTGCAATTCAAAGCTTAATTGACATCCTTTATAAGCATAAATCTGCATTATTAAAGCACTCAAATACTGAAGGCATGTAAATAAGAAAATGGACTTTTTACTTTTTCTGTTTTGTACAGTGATAAGATCACAGCTGAGCTAGTGGCTAAGATTGGGGACAAAAACTGGAAGATCAGGAAAGAAGGTCTAGATGAAGTGGCAAGCATTATTAACGATGCCAAGTTCATACAGCCCAATATAGGAGAACTTCCTGCAGCTTTGAAGAGTCGTCTCAATGACTCCAATAAAATCTTGGTATGTTATTTGAAAACCTACTTTTCAACTATTTCCAGTTCAGAAATGAGAAATAGTTTATGGCAGAGAGCTGTTGCAATGTCACAAAACCATTAGTTTGAAACCAGTGGAGTGTATTAATGAAAAAATCTTCCAAAAAAGGAGGAGATTATGTGTGTCGCCATACAAGTAATGCTCCTGTTTCAGTGTCCCTATATCACTGAGCAGGCATTCTGAAGTAAAAGCTTATGTACAGCAGTGTTAACTCTCTCCATGTGACTTTGAATTTTGCATATATGATTGTACCAGTAGCTTATTCAAAGACTTTCTCTTTATATGCAGGTGCAACAAACGCTGAGCATTCTTCAGCAGCTGGCAACAGCAATGGGCCCCAATATCAAACAGCATGTGAAAAATTTGGGCATTCCTGTCATTACAGTCCTTGGAGACAGTAAGGTAAGAAGCTCAATATCTTTCTCCTTTTCACAGAATCACAGAAACACCAAGGTTGGAGAAAACCTACAAGATCATCCAGTGCAACCATCCAACCATCACCAATAGTTCTTACTAAACCATGTCCCTCAGCACAACGTCCGAATGTTCCTTGAACACTCCAGGGTCGGTGACTCCACCACCTCCCTGGGCAGCCCATTCCAGTGCCTGACCACTCTTTCAGAGAACTAGTATTTCCTAACATCCAGCCTAAGCTTCCTCTGGTACAACTGGAAGCCATTCCCTATCACCAGTTACACAAGAGAAGAGGCCAACCCCTAGCACACTACAACTTTCCTTCAGGTAGTTATAGAGAGCAATAAGGTCTCCTCTGAGCCTCCTCTTCTCCACACTGAACAATCCCAGCTCCTTCAGCCACTCCTCATCAGGCCTGTGCTCCAGACCCCTCACCAGCTTTGTTGCCCTTCTTTGAACCTGATCCAGGGCCTCAATGTCTTTCTTGCAGTGAGGGGCCCAAAACTGGACACAGTACTCGAGGTGCGGCCTCACCAGGGCTGAGTAGAGGGGGACAATCACTGCCCTGTTCCTGCTGGTAGCACTGTTTCTGATGCAAGCCAGGATGCCATTGGCGTTCTTGGCCACCTGGGCACAGTGCTGGCTCATGTTCAGCCTAGCATCAGTCAATACCCCCAGGTCCATTTCTTCTCCACAGTCTTCCAGCCACTCTGCCCCAAGCCTGTAGCCTTGCCTGGGGTTGTTGTGGCCAAAGTGCAGGACCTGGCATTTGGCATTTTAGGAACTCATCCCATTGGCTTCAGCCCAGCTATCCAGCCAGTCCAGATCACAAAATCACCAAGGTTGGAAAAGACCTTCAGGATCATCCAGTCCAACCATCTACCTATCGCTAATAGTACTCACTAAACCATGTCTCTCAACACAAAATCCAAACATTCCTGGAACATCTCCAGGATTGGTGACTCCGCCACCTCCCTGGGCAGTCCATTCCAGTGCTTGACCACTCTTTCAGAAGAGTGGTATTTCCAAGATCCCTCTGTAGGGCTTTGCTTCCTCCAGGCAGATCGACGCTTCTGGCCAACTTGGTCTCATTTTTGCCTTTCTGCCCTGAAGTGTACCTGGGAATAACTGTTCCTGTTTGCTTTTGAGATGTGAATGGTAATTAAAGCTTTGGAAGCTCATGCAAGTTGTGATGGTGATTCTTCTGGAGGGGGATTGTTTTTGCTTAAATGACAACTTATTATCCAAATAAAGTATCCTTGGTATGCATTCTGCATGAGATATATTCTACTGCTTGTGAATAACAGGAGCTGGGGTCATAATTCATCTTACAAATGAAACACAATGGCTATGTATACATGAACTGAACTTTCAGACTGAAAGTACACTACTTTACCAAGAAAACTTGATTGACTTTAAGGTTGCTTGTAGAAGTCTTCTTTTAGTGTATCAGTGTGAATTCCAGTGTGCAGTGTTGTCTTGTTCTGTGTCACTGTGTGGGAGACTTCTGTGTAGGCTGAAATATGGCACTGACTTATACTGAAGTTTGTATAATGTCATTGTTGAGCTTGTCAAGATACTGTGTCAAATCAAACCTAGGACTATGGAAAGAACTATTTGGGACAACTGGAGAGAGGGAGGCTTGAGAAGATGCTAACGATTTGTGCCAGAATTCACGGGCAATCATCAGAGGTGATATTTCAGATGTTCCTATTCTGAGTGTGAGCAGTAAAATGTGCAGGAAGTAGGTGAGCAGGTTGAAATTGGAAGTCTTCCTAGCAGCAAAAGCAACTACTTGGAAAGCTGCTGAGGATGTGTGTCAAAACTGGATTCCTACTGAAGTACTATTTTTGTTGTTGCCTGTAGGAGAAAGGTGCTTGACACAGTTTCACAAGTCTGCATTTATATGCAGATTGAGAAGGAGAATCATCTTCCCTTTACCCCCCCAAGCCCAGATGAACTCTTACAGTGGAAGTGCCTGGAGATTAGCATTGCTCTTCTGGAAGCCAAAGCTCACTCAGCATAAATTGATACTGGTTTAGCAAGTACCTTCTAATCAATTGCTTGTTATTGAACGTAGAAGGTTCCTTTCTTATTTGAAGAAGCTGGTTGTCATTACCTAGGGGAAAATAGCTGCTTCTGTGCTTCAATTTCATGAAGCTTACTATTTCTGAGGAGTGTGTGTATTTGAAAGCAAGAGAAGCCAGCTCCAGTTTACAAGCTGTGGTATTCTTGAATCTACAAATGAACAAGCAAAATGTCTTCTACTGTACTGATGAGCTGTGCTGATATTTGAAGTACAACATGCTGATGTTGCATGCCAACATGCATCAGTACCAATGCTTAATGTGTTTGCATCCTTGGTGTTGGTGGTGTCTGCATTGACTTCATTCTTCTCCTCTTTGAAGAGGCAGAAACTCTGAAGTACTCCGTGCAAGGAGTTCAGATGAGACTTGTCCTTTTTGTGTCAGAAAGCTTGATGTGTTTGTCTGCCCCAGTAGGAATGACAGCAAGTCTTGCCTGCCATAAATGGATGAGTATCATTTTAAAATAAATTAAAATCATTTGGTATGTGGAGACTAGTCAGGATTGCCAAGAATTACGGATTACTTTGACTACTGACAGTTTTGAAGGTGGAGTTGGGCAGCACTCAAAATCTAACAGTCCCTTCTGCTGGAGATCGTTCTTATTCTTTGAAGAGCACAAGTATTATCCTGATGCTACTTGTAAGTCACAGTATCTAGTTTCTTTCCCTTCTCTGGGATCTCTCTCTAAGGAGCCTAAGTTCCATTTAAAATCCAGCAAGTCAGAAGTAGCATATGAAGATGACTTAAAGCTTCTAACAAAACAGACACCTCATTATGTGAACTGAGGAGCTCGTTGTCTGTTTAAAGCTCAAAACTACATGGTGTAGTTGCAAGGATACGGATTGTAAATTACCATCTACACATCTACAAATTCACTTTTGCTCAGTTCTGAGAACATGCACAAATTGTGCTACAGAAATTGTCATGTTTAATACAACAGTGAAATTGGGTCTCCTTCCAAACAATGGGAGGACTAAGCATAAGGATCTAGATTTAAAGAAAAAACCAAACTAAAATAATGTTTATTTCAGGTTATTTCCTCAGTCCAAAGGAACTAATTTTTTTATGAGCAAGCTGGTTTCTTTCTTTTATTCACCCCTCAAGTTATCATGAGAAAACAGCAAGCTGTCTTCACTTGCAAGTACATGATTTTTAAGGATAAGACCTACTGAGATTAACCTGTATCATCACCAAAATGTGCAATACAAATGCATAATACCAGTGTTACTGGTATTACAATTACAATGTGCTGTGATACTGATGGAGGATTGTGTACTCATTCAAGCATTATTGCAATAATAACTATTCTGCAAGATTTATCCAGTTGCAGGTATTTAGGGAGATGAGACAGATTTTTGAGCCTTGCTTAAAATACTGACATTCAGTGAATAATTAAGCAAAACCAGGCTCTAACCTGTAAGTAGACAAATGTAGCTGTTTGCATTTGGCACAGGAATTTTATTTCCCTCTGTGGACAACTTTTTAGTGAGGATGCTGACTCTGGGTACATGCCAGAATTGAGTCAATTTTAAGTGCAATGTAACATGTATGCTATGTATCTGTTATACAAACACACATCCTTTAGCTTTAGTATTGTCTTGCTTCCTACTCAGCCTATGGGAGAGTGATCTGTTCTCGTGTGTACGCTCGTGTTTGTACTGACAGATTTTCTTTGAAGAATCGTGTGTTCCATCTGACTTCCAATTTCACATAACTGTTTCAAAAAAAGACACAATGTGTTTTGTTGTTTTTCTTTTTAAACCAAAACACTAAAGGTAGAACTTGGGTAAGAGACTCACCTGCCCTTGTTTTGACCTTGGCTCAGAAACCTGAAATAAGACTGCCCTGAAACTACTAACAGGTTTCATAATCTTCTTGTCCTGCTGTATGTATATGCTAAGCCTGTTATAACCATTACATAAATCAACTTTATTCTTTAGAAGTCAACCTTATCTGTACCTGTTTTTTCATTCAGGAGTTAAGGTTAAGATAGCAAGTTTGAAGTGTTTCTAAAGATAACCTTTTGTGCCTGTTTATTATGCCTATCACTTTTTAATAGTAAGTTTATGATATGATTTGCTTATTTCCGTATGCGATAGCGATGCTAAAATTAGACTCTGAATCCTACGTTTCTCAAGTAGTGAGTGAGAACGTAGTTCAAAATTTATAATGTAGAATCTTCTGTTGTAATCTTCTGACCCGTCTTTAGGATTATTCATAAATCTTGTTATTGCTACAGAATAATGTTCGTGCTGCTGCACTAGCAACTGTGAATGCCTGGGCTGAACAAACTGGCATGAAAGAGTGGCTGGAAGGAGAAGACCTATCTGAGGAACTCAAAAAAGAAAATCCTTTTCTAAGGCAAGAGGTAGGCTTCTCTTAACTGCTCTTTGTGTGTATTTGCTCAAAATAACCGTTTTTGCTATGGACTAACTTTATATAAGCAAACTGATTTTGCATAATACAACTATTATGTAAGTAAACAAGAAGCAACTCTCTGTTCTTGCTGACAAAACTTTACAGGGCTAATGAGCTGTCCCCTAGTGTGATAGCTGTAACTTAGATTTTAGTGCCTCCAAAATGCAGGTTTAGCCTCTTGGTCACCCTTATAAGACTATTTTGTTTCCCATCAAATTGACACAGTAGTGATGAAGACCAGAACAGAACTAGAGGTGTTAATATATTGAGGTTAATGAAGTGCAACTTACTAATTAGCTGCGCTACCTAGTCTGAAATTCCAGTGTTATTTACAGAAGGAGGAATCAGCCCACACAATCTTACCTGGTCAGGCTCCAAGTTTTGAAGTAGCTGCATATTCAAATACTGTACTCACTTTTTGTTGTTTCTGAATTGTTAATACTACGCTTACGTTGTTTAGGAGTATGTTTGTCCAAACATAGTTTTTTCCTTTTCTTTGAATGAATGAGTAAAGGACTAGCGTTCATTCTCTTGTGGCTTATGTTAGATGTTCCAAATATCAATAATCACTTATTCAAAAACATTTTTTAAACTTATAGCTTCTTGGTTGGTTGGCTGACAAGTTGCCTACCCTCCGCACTGTTCCTTCTGACCTGCTCTTATGTGTGCCTCACCTCTACTCCTGCCTTGAAGATCGAAATGGAGATGTGCGTAAAAAGGCTCAGGATGCCCTGCCATTCTTTATGATGCATCTTGGCTTTGAGAAGATGGCAAAAGCCACCGGCAAGCTGAAGGTATTGCTGTGACTAAGAGTGGCTAATGTGACTTTGACTAAGTGAATATTAAATGGTTAGGTTTGTGATGTATTTGGTCATGGAAAACCTTGCCTGCACTGAACTTCAGGTGGCTGAAAATAAGGTCAGGAGATTGCAAGTTTTCTGTACTTCAAAAAGACCGTGGCCACAACTGATTTATCACTACAAGAGCTTGTTATTTATTCACAATGTGTATTTTTCTGAAAGAAATCTATTTGTTGATAGCTTACCATTTATTGTCTAACTGTATGCCTTTAAACACATGCATGGCTTACTCAAACAATAACTCATAGGGTTCTCAAGTAACTTCATAGGACTGCTCAGCTGGAACAGATTGCTGGTTTGCTTCATATACATCTTCCAGAAATAAACTAGTGGCAAGGTGTCCCATCTCAGAATGTGAAGATCTGAAAGCATGTTCCAAGTGTCATGAAAGATGCTTACTAGAGAATATTCTGCTTCAAAGTACTGTCGTTTTTCTAGTCTGAGGTATGTATTGAAATAGTAATCCTTCCATATCTGTTATTTTGTTTCCCCGCCCTCTAGCCTACTTCCAAAGACCAGGTACTGGCCATGCTTGAAAAAGCCAAAGCCAATATGCCAGCCAAACCAGCTCCGCCTGCTAAAGCATCCTCCAGAGTGGGAGGGGGAGCAGCTCCAGCCAAATTCCAACCTGCATCAGGTAACCTCTCAAGTTCTGGGAAATAACGGAAGAAAAGGGTTGGATTACATTCCCCTAAGAAGAATTTTTGGTGAAACAGTACTTTAATGATTATTTATGTTTTAAACTATAATAAATTTGATGTATAACGATGTGGGGAACTGTGTGTGCTAACATGCAAAAGAAAATTTTCAGTGTGATAAGGGCATTATCACACATTACTATCATTATCTTCGTGAGTAGTTTATTATTCTGTTCTAAGAACAAAAAAAACAGTGTTGATTTGAAACAGGCTTCCTGATAGTTTGGGATGATCTTTGTTTTTCCAGCTCTTACAGAAGATTCAGGGTCAAATAGCATGGAATCTAAGCCTGATCCCAAAAAAGCCAAAGTAGGAGGAACTTCCTCTAAAACTAAGGTAATTGTTCTATTTTGTATGATATTAATTCAATTAAATTAACAGATTGAGTAATGTTTTATGGGTAAAAGAGCATAGCCCTTTCTTGGGACTGCTTTTAAAAAGAATCAGTGTGTTTGTCTGGTTTCTGAAATTAGGTGTTCCTATATCTTCTACTTAAGTAGGTAATAACAGAAATAATGTTTAACTAAGTCTGTTTTGTTTTTAAATGCCATGTGAACAGCTCATTCCATATTGTAAATTTGCTTGTCTTCTTGGTTTCAAGTAATTGAGTATTTATTCTTACTATTGCTGTTCTGCTGTGAACAACAGTGTTGAACCCATGTATTGAAGGAAATTCATCTCCTTCACAGTTGGAACACAGAAGCAAGAAGAGAAAGAATATGTTTGAAAGCACAGTCACAGCCTCAGCTGTGCATCCTTGAATTGTTTTTTCATTGTTAGTGATTTTTTTCTATTTATTTTAAAGTTAAGCAAAAAACCACCTTGTTTTGTAATCCTTTTGCTTCTATTGCCTCAAGTAATGTTATGGGAAAAACTGACACAAGTCCAGATCTATGACAGAAATGAATGGAACAAACTTGGAAGGATGTTGTAGGCTTGCCAAAGTTAATATATTTGCTTGTCAGAATTTTGATTCTGGAGTTAATACCTCTGCAATGGACACAAAAAAAAAAATAAATGCCCATGTAAGAGATGTGGATTGGTAACTCTTCCAAGTAAATATGTCTCTAACAACAAAGCCTTTTTTTTTTATGGCTTATTTACAGCAGTCAGATGTTAATAGCAGTGTGTCCAAGGGCAGTACCAGCCTGTCCAAAACTAATACAAACTTCAGCAAAGGCAATACCAGACTGACAAAGAGCAAATCTATCAAACAGGTACTACATTGGGTTTTAGGTATGTGTGTGGGTAACTGGTGCACTGGTCCAGAATGATATGTCATCTTTCACAGGGTGCTGTTGCACACACTGTCACGAGTATTGCTTCCACAGCAGCAGAGCACATACTTTAAAAAATTCTAATCAACTTTATTCTTTCAGCTTCTCTCTGGCTCTTGTTTACATAGGCAGCATGAGGTTGGCTGGCATCTAATGCTTGCTATTGCTTGGACTAAGGCATATGTCTTGCGTTGCTTCTTAATACCTTGGGTTTGGGGGTGTTTTTGTTTTCTCAGGGCGTACAGGGGAAGAAAATATTAAACAAGCCTACTTTAAAGGAGGATGATGACAAATCGGGTCCCATTTTTATCATAGTCCCAAATGGGAAAGAACAGAGAATGAAAGATGAAAAAGGACTGAAGGTAAGAAAGATCTAAATGCTTTCACTTATTTTGAATTAGTATTAATTTTAATACATCTTTTTGTTCTGAGGGAGTTGGGCTTGTTCAGCCTGGAGAAGAGAAGGCTGCGGGGTGACCTCATTGCAGCCTATCAATACCTGAAGGGAACCTACACCCACGAGGGGAGTAAACTCTTCAAAAGGGCTGACAACAGCAGGACTAGGGGAAATGGATCCAAGTTGAAGGAGGGAAGATTTAGGTTGGATGTTAGGGGGAAGTTCTATACAAGGAGAGTGGTTAGGCCCTGGAACGGGCTGCCCAGGGAGGTTGTGGATGCCCCGTCCTTGGATGTGTTTAAGGCCAGGTTGGACAGGGTCCTGGGCAACCTGATCTGAATGTGTGTGTTTGGTGGCCCTGCTAGGCAGGGGGGTTGGAACTACATGATCCTTGAGGTCCCTTCCAACCCGGGTGATTCTGTGATCTGTGATTCTGTGATTCTGGCATTTAAAATTAACTATGCTAGGACATGAAAGTTGTATTTTCTGTCTGTCCTTTGGGTTGTTTATCCAGTGCCCCAGCTGACTTGCACAGGCCCATATTACTTTGTGATGTTTGTCTGTTTGTCAGATTTTGTGCATCTGTATGTTCTTGTAGAACTTCTTGCTGCTTCTAAGAGATGATCCTTAGCTTTATAGTGTCAAGTTGATCAACTTTTTGTGCATGCCTAACGTTGGAGTTCTAGGATCCACATTAGATTCTTTATATGTATTTTGAATGGTACTTCTTAACAAGCTTGATTTTTTTGCGCATGTGGAAATTTTGTTGCTTAAAGCATACTTCATTGATTACTTGCCAGTGAAAAGACCTATGTAGCTTAAAAACAACCACTCTAAGTAGTTTGTAGAAATTAAGGTAACAGCCTAAAGATGACTGCTCAACACAGGATCTTTTATGGAAGCCAAGATGAGCAAAAGCCATTTAAATTTTCCCGTTGTCTTTTGATAATGAGAAGATTTTGAAAACAGATTCTGAAGTAGGACTGAAAACAATACAATTTGCAGATTTTTTCAAGAGCAAAAAGTGCTGCTTGCTTTGAGTTCCAAATGCTGATGTTTTGCAGGTGTTGAAGTGGAACTTCACTACTCCTCGTGATGAATACATTGAACAGCTGAAAACTCAAATGTCCAGTTGTGTAGCCAAATGGTTACAGGATGAGATGTTTCATGCAGACTTCCAGCACCACAACAAAGCACTGGCTGTTATGATTGAGGTAAGTTTGGATCTGTGCTAGTGGATGACAACAAAAATAATTATTCCTTGCTGTCTCATCTTGAGTTGAAATCAACTAGGAGTGTTCTGAGAATCTAGAAGTAACTGTACTGTGAGATTGAAACTTTTTTCCAGATAATTAATGAATTTTGTTTTTGAGGAGAAGAGAAAATTAGTTTGTTCACTAGAGGTTTTTCTTAAAATGTCAGAAAGCTGTTTAAGCTGAAAGTGAGCACTTGCAGCCACAGAAATCAATCAGTGTGTGTAGACTGTCTCAGCAGGCATAGCTTTTTCCTTGTTCTGATTTCTTGAACAGCGTGCTTCACTTTGCCCCTCTTTTTTCCCCATGTTGTTTGAAGCATTTGGAGAATGAGAAAGAAGGAGTCATCAGCTGCCTGGATCTGATCCTGAAGTGGCTTACTCTTCGGTTCTTTGATACCAACACAAGTGTTCTTATGAAAACGCTTGAATACCTTAAATTGCTGTTCAATATGCTGAGCCAAGAGGAGTATCACCTTACAGAAAATGAAGCATCGTCTTTCATCCCGTATCTCATCATAAAGGTACCATTTATTATACAGAAGTTAACCTCGCTTTCTGTGGGGAACATTGCAGGATAACAAATTACTACAGTGATGCTCATTCTGAATGTGTTGTGTATTTGCCTTTAAAAGGCATTTTCCAGAAGGAGTTTTTGCACTGAGAATAATTTTGACTGTCTTGACATTAAACTACTCATCAGTATGAAGAGTCTGTTCAAAATGTTCAGTATTTCTTCCCAACTGTTTTTGCTTTTCTATTAGGTAGGAGAACCAAAAGATGTCATCCGCAAAGATGTGCGTGCCATCCTGAATAGGATGTGTCTCATATATCCAGCCAGCAAAATGTTTACTTTCATCATGGAGGGGACAAAATCTAAAAACTCAAAACAGCGTGCAGGTGGGAAATAGCATTACATACTAAGCAGTTTCAATTTTTAGCCGTGTTGTTTTGCATCCTGAAAAACCAACTTAACTTCTAGTGGAAGATGAGATTTGCCCTGTGTGTAGAATTATATGCACTTGCAAGTAACCCTGTCATGTATTTTAGTTAAAGGAAGAATAATCTTGCTCTTTATTTTTTATCTTTGGAAGGTGTAACAATCTATTGATAGTAATCTAACATTAACATTAAGTTTGAGTCTTCCTTGAGGAGGCTTGTTTTAATAAAACAGTGCTGTGGAGAACAATGATGACAGTACTGTCCAGGTCACTAAGGGAATCTGTAATACGATCGGAACTTTGAAAAGATGTCTCTATGATGTACAGAGGTCTCAACTGTTTTACTTTAGGAATTGTTTACCATATAGTGTTTTAAAGTTCAAACAGCTTCATGGCCACCTTGAATATCTCATCCTTATAAATCTAGAAGGTTAAAATTCTATGGTACGACATTACAAACTTACAACTGTCTAAACTGCCTAGTTGTGAAGTTAAACATCATGTAGCTCACAATAATGGGAAGTACTTGGAAAGGTATGGGAATGACTGACCGCTTTTAGATGCTTGTGTGCTTCTTTATCTCATAAATCATCCAGAGTATCTGCATCTATCAACACAGAGAGCAAGAACTATCACTCTGTTAATAAACTGAGCGTTGTGATTCACCCTTCTGTATAGTGAATGCTCGTTCTCAAACAGCACAGAAGTTAGAGGATTGTTTCTCAGCAGCTTTAATTTTGAATCTGCTTGTGTCATTTTCTTCCTTCAGAGTGCCTGGAAGAGCTTGGATGTCTGGTTGAATCTTATGGCATGAACGTATGCCAGCCAACTCCAGGGAAAGCCTTGAAAGAAATGGCAACTCATATTGGTGATAGAGACAACACCGTTCGCAATGCTGCACTGAACACCATTGTAACTGTCTACAATGTTCATGGTGACCAAGTATTCAAGCTGATTGGAAATGTGAGTGTAACTGGAAATAACAATGGTTGAGTTGCAAGTACTTGGAACAGGCAAGCTATAGCAGGACCTTGGCTTCTGTAGTAGAGTCCACAGTGTTAAAATGTTGCCTGGGGCTCATAAATACAGAGGACGTGCAAGGGTGGATAGGTGTGTTTTGTTCTTCAGCAACACAAGCAACAATTAAACTTACTAACAGTGGTAGGATTTGAACTAAAAATGATTTGTTTCTTGGAAACAATGTGGGCTAGAAGTGGCTGTATTTCATATAGTAGCTTGTCCATATGGATTAACTAGCTCCTGAACAACCATCTGGTAGTCAAGTGACCCTGCTGGACAGCTGCTAGATGGTAGTATTGACTTGTCTTGGAATTGCAAAACCTCAGCCTGTAACAATTGCGTCACCTACAAGAGGTACACATTTCTAAAACTCATTCCACTGAGTGAAAGCATTGTTTGTTTTAGCTGTCAGAGAAAGACATGAGCATGTTGGAGGAGAGAATAAAACGGTCAGCCAAGAGACCATCTGCTGCTCCAGTGAGACAGGCAGAGGAGAAACCTCAGCGTATCCAAAACATCAGTGCGAATGCTAGCATGCTGCGGAAGGGGCCAGCTGAGGATATGTCTTCCAAACTCAAGTATGTAATGATACATTATGGTCTGCAGGTGGTATAGTGTGTGTGCTAATGTCATGTCCAGCTATGTTATTTTATTTTGTGTATCATCATTGCATGTTGTGAAAATTGGCCAAAGAATTTAAAACAGAATGTCTGAAACTTTTTTTTGTCTTGTCTGTCTTGAAATCTTTCTAAATGGTCTTGTGCCTTTTTTCACTGCTTCTCCATGGACAGAATTATGTATCGCACTTATAGGATGTAAGTACTGCCCACTAACTCCTTAGTGCAGGGGCTCTTCTGTCTTTCCATTTCTATCCTTGTCATCCCTTCCAAAGGGTGACATGTTTATCATAGCCAGTTCAATAGGTGTATAGATCTGTGATCTGAACAAAAGAAAACAACAGCAGAAGTTTCTACCGAGGTGTCTGTAGGTGAAGCTGCAGGCAGATAGGGCACTTGTGGTAGACAGCTGTTGGAAATGCTGGGAGAATGTCCTGTGTGTTGCATTTATCTGGACCGTGTCCCTAACTTGTTAGCACAATTACATAGTACAGAATTGGATGAGCACGTGTGAAGCAGCCTGGAGAGACGGTTTTGGAAACAAAAGCTCAGAAACAGTGTCTTACCACTTGCTCATCATCTTGGAATAAAAGTCCCTGTTGGAGAATAGCGTACGATGTTTCCTTGAAACTTCTAGTATGAAGTACAAGCTATATGGGAGAATACTAGATTCAGTTGATCTTGCAGTGTTTCTATGTACACATGCATCCTATTCATCATCTAAAAACACAAATGAACTCTAAGCCTGTGTTCCATTAGTGCTACTTTAAACTGTGTTCAGTGATCTCTAACAGCATTACCTAGTTTATACCTAACTGCAGTGGTTTGGATGGGGCCTCATCTTGTAAGGGTAGCTGGGAAAGCAAGTAACTGGCAGCTGCTCTTCTGGCTTACAAAATTTAGTTTTACTAATAGCTAGGGGAGAGCAGCAAAGGGAGGTTTTTAAGGATCTTGAAGAAAATCACATCTCCAAAATGTATGCTGTTCTATTATAGGAGCTTTAGGGCTACCAGTAGATGTTAGCACTGTTACTTTTGCCTGTTGAGTGTATGTAATAAACATCTCTCTCCTGGTTTCTGTAGCCAAAATCGCAATATGGGCAGTCACTCTGAGACAGCACATACAGTTCCACGGGAATTTCAGCTGGATCTTGATGAAATTGAAAATGATAACGGTACTGTCAAATGTGAGATGCCAGCACTTGTACAGCACAAACTAGATGACATCTTTGAGCCGGTCCTGATTCCTGAGCCCAAGTGAGTCTGGTTGGATCTAAGTAAAACCAATAAGAACTAAAGAACTATTCTGAGAAGCTGAAATGACCAGTTTGTACATTCAGACCTCTTTACCTGAGGAGGGGAAGTGTCAGCTGTTCTGAAAAGAGATGTCAGAGTCTCTTTGGGAAAGACCTTCATAAATGAAGGTGATCTACGGTACTGTTTTGAATTCTGGGTAGCTGTTATTTCTAATGAAAAACCTGAGTTATGCTTATTTATTTTTGTGTCATCTTTTTTAAGACAACATTGATCTTTCTTAAATGTGTTATGTCTGTTAGCATACTGGTAAACTCATAGATATGTTAGAAATTGTTTCTACCTTGAATGTTCCCTGTGAAGATAAAAAATCTTGTCTCTAAACTGCTTCTGAAAAATAGCAGTTTAGTATAAACTCGAACACTCCAAAGGGTAACAAATCCTGTTTTCACCTGTTTAGAATCCGTGCTGTGTCGCCACACTTTGATGACATGCACAGTAGCATTGCTTCTACCATCAACTGTGTCATTTCTCAAGTAGCCAGTGGTGATATAAATACAAGCATTCAGGCTCTAGCACAGGTAAGAGAACTAAGGTGTAACAACTATTCATACTGAACTAAGCTATTTCTCTGCGAGGTTGATGAGCTGCACTCTGGTGGAGCAACCGTGTCAGGTGACATGGACTCTGCTCAGAATCTCCCTGATGACAAAACTAAGTGCACAGGGGCCATCTGACTCGCTTTATTAATATCGATTTCACTTCTGTGTTGTGAAATAGACTCTAACACAGAAGCACTAATTTGGGAAAAATGTAATTTTTTTTTTTTTTGTAAAGTACACATCTATACTATAGAGACTATGCTATACAGATTTGAAAAAGCAGACTGTTGCCAACGTAACTTTTAAATGTAAACTGCTGTGCAGACTCAGCAGAAAGATTTTGTATCTTCCCTCATAGTTAAAGCCCACTCTGTGAATGTGTGAAAACTATGTAGAAATGTTTTGTCTGGAAGATTTCACAAAGTTGTTAATTCCAGAATCTATGATAGATGTCAAGACTGTACAGGATACTGATTCTTTAAAGAGATATAAATGTAACATATTATATTTGGAATTAGCAATAGAAGTTTGTAGTTTACTGATTTCAAGTGGAAGCTTGGAATAGAAATACCTTGGCAAAATAGATAAGGGCAAGACTTTTCTTATGTAAATGTTTCTAAATTATAGCTGTTTTGCACTGTTTTTATTATGTTGACTTGGGTGTTCTGTTTTGTTTTTAAATCTTAGATTGATGAAGTTTTCAGACAGGAAGACAAAGCAGAAGTTATGTCTGGCCACATTGACCAATTTCTAATAGCTACACTTATGCAGCTTCGGTTAATCTACAATACACACATGGCAGATGAGAAGCTAGACAAAGATGAGATAGCAAAACTTTACAGCTGTATTATTGGGAGCATGATATCGGTAAGGCTTTGACCTATAAACTAAGGTGAAAAGCAAGGAATGTCTATGCTGAAGTTGCAGCCAAATGGAATACCTAAGCGGAGCTGACTTGTACCTAGGCTAGCACACTATGATTTTATGAAAGGTTTGTTGTTAATTATCTGCTCACCAATGCACCTTTTGGGAGGGACCAGAGAATAAGTAGTAGGGGTAGGGAAGAATGCCTGTTTATGTCTTTAATAGCTTACAGCCATCCTGATGCTTCTATTTAGTTCTATTTTAACACTTCTTAAGCTTTGTATACTTAGTTGGATGTTTAAGTATTTTCAGAAGTTACTCAGAAATCCCCCACTGAGGGATGAAGCAGGAATGTCAAAGGATTTAGTAGTGTAGTGAAATCTTATTATTGAAGTGTTTTATGTAAGGAAGTCTTTTAACCTTGTTTTCAATTGGTAGCTGTTCCAGGTAGAGAGTCTGGCTCGAGAAGCCTCTGCTGGTGTGCTAAAGGACCTAATGCATGGTCTTATTACATTAATGCTGGATTCTCGAGTTGAAGACCTCGAGGAGGGTGAGCAGGTCATCCGATCGGTCAATCTCTTGGTATTGAGGGTTCTTGAAAAGTCTGACCAGACCAACATTTTGAGGTATGTTGTTCAAAAAAAAAATCATGACTTAGTAGTCATTCCATCTATTCTTCTGTGTTCCTTGAATGAATGATTATGTTCATTAGTCATGTTGTAAACAAAGAACGATCTCTATAAGATTGTTTAGCTAATAATAAAGAATTATCAGTGGTCATTAGTGGTAATTGTAGCTTGTCTGCATAGTCTGTGCAGCTGAAGGCAGGCTAAGCAAACTAGCTTGGTGTGGTTGTATACATTTCGTATTTCAGCAGACTGTCTCTTAATTGCTTCTGAAGTGCTGTGAAGAGAGAGCTCTTATATGGCATGATGTGAACAACTGGAGTAGTCTCTGGTGTAATGCTGTGTTGAGAAACTAGTCATTTTGTGTAGTGCTGTCCCATGTAATTCAACTCTAAACTTAATCCTTCTAGTGCTCTGCTTCTTTTACTTCAAGACAGTCTGCTAGCAACAGCCAGCTCTCCTAAGTTTTCAGAACTTGTCATGAAGGTGAGCCTCTAATAGCGGTTTTGAACTCTGAAATGCCTGGTTATGAATCAGCAATGTAGCTTTAAAGAACAGATAGTTTATTAAAAAAAAAAAAAGTGATAACTGGAAGTATTTATTAAATGTTTAACTCAATGACTTCATTCTCTCTACTGAGAGAAAGCTTAACACCTGCTAGTAGTTTACAGAAGATCATACTTGCTTATACATGCTCCACAGAGGGAGATACAGTCACCTGCTCGACCTGTTTTCTTAGGCACACTAGTGTACTGTGCATTCAAACAATCCCAGGCTGAAACTGGCTTATATATCTTACAGCACCCTGCTATAACTGGCATAATGTAGTGAGAGCTTCAGCATTTTTAATAAGGTTAAACCTGAGGGCATCATGTTGTGTTCAGGTGTACTTGGCTTCTTTGCTTTATTTGCTGAAACTTCTTCACACAAAATGCCATCTCTTGTTATTGGTGGTAAAGTCAGTACTACTACATACAGTTTTATGCATCACTTCTAAAGAAAGATCTGAATAGAGGGCTGCTAATGAGAGACCATACGTACCAATAATTTTAACAGACACACAAGCTATGTATGTCAATGTATGTCACAGCAAAGTGAAACAACTCAAAGATAGTTTTGTGTAATCTGGCCTTAAATATTTAAATATTCCTTCCTGGAGTTGTCTTGCTGTAAGTCAACCTGTCATTCCAGTGTCTGTGGAGAATGGTGCGTCTTCTGCCAGAAACCATTAACAGCATCAATCTGGATCGGATTCTACTGGATATCCACATTTTTATGAAGGTCTTTCCCAAAGAGAAGCTGAAGCAGTGTAAGAGTGAGTTTCCTATAAGGACATTGAAGACTCTGCTTCACACCCTGTGCAAGCTGAAAGGGCCCAAGGTCAGACCTGGCATCAGTCATGTACTTCTTTGAATTGATTTGTTCACGTACTTTGTAAAGCTACTGCCTCTTTTTCTTTAGATCTTAGATCACCTAACGATGATAGAAAACAAAAACGAATCTGAGCTGGAGGCTCACCTGTGTAGAGTAATGAAGCATTCCATGGACCAGACTGGAAGCAAAGCTGATAAAGATACAGAAAAGGGGGCTTCTCGCATAGTAAGTAATAGAAATATGTTGTGTGGCAATTTATTCAGAAAACAAGCTTCAATTAGTAGTGGAGTAAGGATTATTCTTCCCACATGCAGGTGGCTTTGTAAATAATCTCTTATTTCTATGGCTGTTTTAGAAATTTGCAGTATTTCTAGTATTACCTAAATATTGTGTATATGTGCCAGGGTAAGATGGTCTTCTGAGACATTGGTGTGTGCAGCACGGGCTTTATACTGCTTGCTAAAGCACTTCATCTACTAAGAGTTAACCATATCCAAACCAGATCTTAAATGCTGGCCTCTCAGAAGCATGCTTACAACTTGGTAATGTCTGTATACTTCTCTGTAGCTGTGATTATATAGAACTCTTGTAAAGGTTTTCTTTGGTGGTTTTTTTTTTTATTTTTGAAGTTCTGTATCCAGCTAACAAACAGGTCTGATGAGGGTACTGTGGGTTTGTCTGAACTTCCCTTCATTTTTAAGAGAAGACTGTATAACCCACTTCGCTTAGATAGAAGTTTCCCTTTATTTCTTTAGGAAGAAAAAGCTTCAAAAGCCAAAGTGAATGATATTTTGGCAGAAATATTTAAGAAGATTGGCTCCAAGGAGAACACCAAGGAGGTAAGAGCTCTCTTCCTGTGGAGAAGAAAGCATGATGCAATAGAATAGTGTATGCAGCCTTCGTAGTAATACACAGAAACTCTTCCCTCCCAGGGTTTGGCAGAGCTGTATGAATACAAAAAGAAATATTCTGATGCAGATATTGAGCCCTTCCTGAAAAACTCATCTCAGTTCTTCCAGAGCTACGTGGAAAGAGGCCTCCGGCTCATAGAAACGGAAAGGGAGGGGAAAGGACGCATTGCTTCTTCTACAGGTACATGTTACAGCAACAGGGTTGATTTATAAGAAGCACTTGCATGTGTCACATTTTAAACGTCTCCAGATACGGTTTTTTTAATAGGATTCCAAAGTAATTCACATATTCTTAGTGCTTGTGTTAAGTATGGTTTGCATGGTAGAAGTTCTTTGTTTACAAGGAAGTTGTTATAACTGTCATCGCATTAAGTGAGGAAATATCTGAAAGGTGCTTGATATACAAGTTCTTTTAAGTTCTGCCCTGTACTGTGGGACAAGCATTATCTGTGCTTCATGTTTCTGGTGTCAGGAGTTTTTACTTAAAAGTATACAAGCTGTTTTATGAACAGCAACAGCTGTCAGGTTTGCCTTTAACTTTCTGCTTTTAAGCAGCATAGTAGTTTTGTGGTTTTGTTTTGTTTTGTTTTGTTTTTTTTTGCTGATGTTGTCCAGCAAAGCTACCTTTAATTTGTTTCTTTTTTTCAGGTGCTTAACTGTGTCCTGTGTGATTGCTTTTTTTTAGCCTTTCTCATGCTACTGTTTGTTCTTCTATCTGTATATTGTAAATTACATTCAGAAGAGGGTTTATTTTAGCACCTCTTAAATCTATCTGACTAGATATAAGGCAGAACTTCCTGTTTATCTAAAACTCTGTACAGCCAAGAAATGTTGATTGAGCAGTAAATGCTTTCAAACTGGACTCCAGTTTTCTTCCCCCAACTATAATAGTTGGAGATAATGAAAGCTGTTGTTCTGTCTTGCAAGCTATGCTTAACTGTAATTCTCCATAAATCTTTTTTAAACACCCTTGCAGTAAACTAATGAACACTGTTCAAAGTAATTCTTACAACTTGCCATTCATTTCAGAATGGAAGAAGTTTCTTTCATAATGTATAATCCTTCCCTGGTCTTCTAGTAGAGAGGTTTTGAACACCATGTAACATTCCTTTTGGACATCGCTGTTTCAGGCTGAACTGGATTTTGCAGTAGTTTCAAGTTACCTGAACAAGAAGTAAAGAGGATTTAGTGGTGAGGTCTGACTGAGTACTACAGAGTGTAGCAAAAGATGGAAAGCTCCAAATATTTCCTATCCTGCCAGTGTAATTGTTATGTTCCCTCTGTTGTCTACCTTTGATTTGCATCAGCATCTGTGTCCCCATCCTGCATGTGTATACACTGACCCTTCTTTTGACAACTGTTAGCATCATTGCTACTTCTGGACCTGCTCTACTACTGCTTTATGTCTTTATTTCTTTTACTGTTTTCTTTGAAAGAGTGAAAACTGAAAATTACCTGACAGGCATGAAAGAGCCAATATTCCTATCCTAGCAAATGCACATAATTTGGTTGTTTGATTCTTTATCTCTTGCATCTCATTTGAAGCAATAGAGTAAGAGGCTTATTTTTGAGGTTTTTAATCTTTTTTTTTTTTCCTCTTGTTTTTATTACACTTCTTCTTTCCAGGAATTTCTCCTCAGGTGGAAGAAACGTGTGTTCCTGTTTCTACCCACACTGTATCTTCATCTATAGGAAACACAAATGGGGAGGAAGTGGGGCCTTCAGTTTACTTGGAACGATTAAAAATCCTCAGGCAACGTTGTGGCCTTGACAATGCAAAGGTATCGTATTGACAACGCTTGGAAATCCTGTGGGATTGTACCTCATTTACCTACGTTTATCTTTATGAGGATTCAAATATTGGCTCCGCTGCGCCTAAGAGAAATTCGCCTCAGAATCTAGATTTGCTCTGAGGCTCAAAGTGTCAGGGATATAGTGTGACTTCTTAATGCAAATGGTTGGACTTGTTCCTTTGTGTTCGTACTGACATCAAGTTAATCATTCGCTGCTTAAATTATAAGAACTGAGTGCTGTAGCTAGCTTTGCACAGTTCTGACTTTGGCGCCTGACTTTAATAGCGCTGGTGATCTAGAGCAATACTGTTCCTTTCCTTTCTTCTGTTTTCAGTGCCTTTTATAAAAACGAAAAGCCATTAACTGTGTTTTGTACTTAAACCACTTTTGCCGTTGTCTGTCTTAACATTCACATTTCTTCACCATAGCAGGAAGACAGAGCACCTCTGACATCTCTGCTCTCTAAACCAGCAGTCCCTACAGTTGCCTCCTCTACTGATATGCTTCATAGTAAGCTCTCCCAGCTCCGTGAGTCACGAGAACAGTACCAACATCTGGATCTGGACTCCAATCAGACTCATTCTTCTGGCATTGGAACTACCACAGCTTCATCCTCTTCTGCAGCAGCTAATATTGATGACTTGAAAAAAAGATTGGAGAGAATAAAAAGCAGTCGCAAATAGAGAGGCAGCATCACGGTTGCTGTCTTCAGCTTTAGTTTACTAAACTAGAAGTCTTCATAGTTAAGTGGCCTCGTTTAGGCCTGATGTATACAAACTGGTTTATGTATAATACAGTGGATTTTGGAGGGACTGGGTCATTGTGGCACAAGTATTTGTACATAATCTGCTTCGCAGTGAGCATCTCTTGACAATAGAAGGCTGTCTGTGTATTAGTTTTAGTGTACAGACCTGTAAACAACCATCCTCTTGCTCAGACTAGTTTCTCATAACTTTTTTTATTTGTAATGTCTTTAAGACCTTTTTTCCTAGTTCTTAACTCTTAGAAAGTCTTTAGTGATTTCACTTTTAATTTTGTGAATTCTTCTCCATGTAATCCTTGAACTGTTGATTCTATATGGACACATGGCATGAAGTAACTAATTTAAGTGTCTTTTGTAAATAAAGTTTGCATTAACTATACCAGTCTTTATAGGAACAGCAGTGACTGCTGGTGAGAGAAGTTGCTGTCTATTCCTGAATGTTAGTGACTGGGCATCTAGAAATTGAACTAAGCTATTCTTGAAATGAACCTAAAGCTTGGATATTTTATAGGGAAGATGAGTGAATATATTATCTCTGGGTTGCAATCCTGAGACTTTGCACTCTTCTATAAGCAGTAGTGTATTTTTTTTCCATGTACTTGCTGTTTTTTGTTTTGGACTATGGTTTCCGTAAGTTGCAAGTAAGTCGAGAATATTTTGTTTGCTGACATGCTTATTTTAAATTACTAATCCTTGTATTGCCTCTACCTGGATGAAGCATAGTCCCTTCTGTGTATAAATGCTTTCTCTTTGAGGGAGTGTGCTGCTGTTGATAAGAAATAGATTAGCAGTGATGTACAGTCAGTGGCCTCATTTATCCTGAACTCGTTTGATTAAGTGGTCTTCCTAATGGAGTTTTCAAATGCAAGTAGACCACAGCACCATATTCAGTTGCACTTAAACATCTAATGTTAGCAAACCCTCCTGTGTCGTATGACTAGAAAACGCCTACTAGTGCTAGTCTTCAGAAGCTGTAGTCAACTGCTTTTTGAGTGAGGAGCGTATTCTGAGTAGCCTTCTTCAGAAGCAGCAAGTATGAAAGCTTAAAGACCTACACTGTGTAGCCTTCCTAGCCCTTTCATCTCTCAGGAGGTGATGTTTTCACTTTGCTCCTTCACTGCCTGTGTGAGCTGGTTGTGAAGCATAAATTGCACATCTGCTCCAGAGCTAGAACAGAGCTATTGAAGAGTTGGACAGGCAGGCTTAAAGCAGAGTTTGTTACTCTGGGTTCTAATCTTGGCTCCATGTAACTGCTGCTTTTGTTGTTTGCTCTGGGGACCACGGGAGTCTCAGCATTTGGGCTGTAGCTGAATTGATCTTGCCCGATTACAGTGAAAACTTGGTTTTAAATCAGTACGTGTACAACAGGTCTGTGCCAGAGCTGCTGCAAATGGCTGCAGTTTTCCTTTTACAAGACCCCTGGCTGGGGTTACAGTGGATCTGTAATACTGCTTGGTGCCTGTGGTGAGTTGATGCACTGTGATAGCAGGTGACTTGTGAGCAGTCTTCATCCTGTGTTAACTAACAAGATGCCCTTCATTGCTTCACACTGCTTTGATTCAGTAGTTGCGGTCTCCTGTGCTGACCCGAAGTGGTCATGCCCTCTTATTTAACAGGCCTAAATGGCAAGAGGAAGTTTTGGCCATTGTTGATGAGTGCAGAAGTTTTGTGCACTTGGGGCTGTTGGCAAATAGTTGTTTGGATGTCATTGGAGTTACTGCCACTACCTCTCAGTTACCAGCTGCTTTTTTGAAACAATTACTAACATATAAATGAATCCATATTTTTATTTACTGTACCCTGTCTAATAGACATTCTGAAGAGCTGTTTGTTAATTAGTTCAGGATGTTAAAGTGGCAGTGCCTGCAAACTTGCATACTACTATTTTAAACAACTATTTTAGACTTAAAACTGATTTGGAAGTGAAGTACAGGAATAATGAGTAGAAGAAGGTATAGTTGTTTACTATGAATGAGTTTTTTGCCCTGTGTCTTTGTAGTGTTTGGTTGGACTCAATATCCTGGGAGTTCTAAGCTAAAACTTGTGCACATAAATTAATAAAGCCTAATCTTTAGCCCAGAAAATATTTAAATAATATTAAACTGAATTTTAAAAATGATTCCTCTGTATTGTTTGTAATAAGTCTGCTTTAACAGTGGCTTACTCCAGAAGTTATATGGTCCTGGTTCTCCATAAGTCCTCCAGGTTTCTCTCAAATTATAGCTGTGAATAGGCTGAGGCTATAAAATTCAAGCATTAAGAGGGCTAAGAATTTTCATTTTTCAATGCCTGTGGTTATCAGTGACTTGAAACAGGTGTGGAACTTGAGCATTTGAGGTTGGTTTTCTGAGATACCTTTGGAGAGGTTGTTTTTGTACTTTTGTTGGGCAGTCAAAACGGGCTGTCCTCAGTTGATTCCTAAATAAGCCAATTTCAATAAGGTAGCAAAACACAGTAACTGATTAATAACTTCATTTATTTCCAACAAATTTTGGATAGTTGTCTCTATCATCTTTTTTCCAAGCCGTTCTCCTTTAATACTCCATTTGAAGCAGAAGCAACTTTATCTATTGCCTGTTTCTGTAACTTAATGGCACTGTGAAGGATGAGGGATTTGAGAATGTGACGTTTTGGGAACCAAAGATAGCTTCCAAATCTCTCATTACTTTTGAGAGAAAATTGGTCTGAACAGATGGGCTAGTCTATATAATACATGTTTACTACTGTACTTCTTTCATGAATACTGGAGCAAAGACACAGAAGTGGGGCTTCTTTTAAGGATGAATCCTAAGCAGTTTTATAGGAACAAAATAGGTACAGTGCCAGATGCTGCCTTTGGAAGACCTTAAACTGTGTGTGTACAAATTGTTTCCTTCTGAATCTAGTTACGCCAGCAGAAAATACACTTCCAGGTCCCAGCAGTAATTGCCGTATAGAAAGTTAATGCTATGCAGAAATGCATGTGTTGCTTCATCTGTTCAAACCCCTGTTTCTGTACGTGATTAGTTACACGTAGATGACATCTCTAACTTCAGACACTAACTTTATAAGGAGCAGTTCTGGTATTTTGTTGCTGCTGTTGTGGCTGAGAACAATGTTGGTCTTGGCAACAAAGGCTACAGTTGCTTTATTCTTGAAGTGGCATTTTGAATAATGCTACAGTTCCTGTAAGGCGGTAGGTATCTCCAGGTTGTTACCATTTCAGATTTCTAGAACAGAAAATGAATTCAATGGAAGGGGGGAATGGACAGTGTCCAAGGGAGGTCTTGCTTACTGTGACTTAAGTCCATCATCTGAAGTCTGAAATCTGTTGATTGTTATTGCTGATAGAGTGGAGAAGAACATTTGAAGGGCAACATCTTAACTAGCAGTACTGCTAGTGCTGTTGTGTGATGCTCCTAGCTATTGTGCTGGCATGGGTTCAGGTGCTGTTCAGCTTAGCATGAACACGAGGAAGAAGATAGTTGAGAATTTTTATTTTCAGGGAAGAACACGTTCCTTTGTCAAGTTGCAGGGATTTACCTCCTACTTCAAGATTTTTCAATGTGTATGTTTTTAAGAAGTGGAATATTGTAGCAGAACTGAGAACAAGCAAGGGAAGCTCTTCTATCCTTGTTTTTCAATGGTTTTTCGCATCCATTTTTTCAGGCGGAATACGTGAGTATAAAATCCATATTTGCCATCTCGGTCACAGCCTTCTCCCCATGAAACTATTCCCACTTGATACCAACGGTTGTCATCTGGGTTCTAAAGCAAAGAAAAATGGAATTAGCACAAGAACAAGAGATTTTCAGATCTAGGACTTGTTTTCCACAGCCTTTTTGCATCATGGATACCACTTTGAAATTTAAAGCGGTATCTACTAGATAACAGCTTGTTGGCATAGCTTTGTCTTCACTCTTAAACCTCTAAGTGGGAATTGGCCAGCACTTAGAAATTCTGCAGCCAATCTCTGTATTTGCAAGAAACAGTAAAGAAATTGAGCTAGACAACTGCAGGATGCATCTTATTGGATCAGCTCAGGTTTCAGATGAATTTGCTTCAGCCACTCAGCAGTTTTCATCTCTACTGCTGTTTTTTTCAGGCAATTATACAACTTCAGCATCACACAAACCCAGCTCTGTGTCTTTGAGCTTGTTGAACATACCTTCATCACAAACGGCCCCCCACTGTCCCCTTCACAAGCATCTCCTCTCTTTGAGTCTTCAGGACTGTAACCTACAGGCAACAGGAGAGTTAGACATTTGGCTATGGGAGAGTGGTGGTCTTTCCTTGAAGCATTGCTTCATGATGTCTCAGACCCCCTGTTTACTGCTTCTACAAACTCTGGACTTAAATGATTTTTTCTTAATTTAATATTTCTGTAACAGCTATCTCTGCTGTCTTTGCAACATTACTGATTTTGCTGTACTCAGCCACCCTGTTTCTTATCAGAATTGCCATTGGTCAGCTGCTGTTTGCAGCTATAGCTTCAGCTGCTGTACCTTTGTTTTACAGACTTCAGTGTGTGCAAGGTCCGTGCACTCTCTTTCGTATTGACTAGAGAAAAATGATCTTCCTCATTTTTACTTGCATGTCTGTCTGTAGGCTCTGCTCTTTATCCAGCTGGATGTTTATTTTAGACTTGCTATAAAGACAGGTTTCGTTGTCATGTCTGCTGAACACATGCGTTCCTCCTGTCATGCAAGGTTCCTTTTTGCTGCCCTATGTCTTCATCTCAGCTATTTTTTCAAAAATGCTTTTTTAGGAGAAGAAACAATAGGAACACTGTATTGATGGGGTGCTTGTGAAATTGGCTTCTATCCTGTCTCAAGCACATTGTTAGATGCAAACAGCACAAACTCAGCCTAATACTTGTTGACATGCCTGTAGGAATTAGAAATACAGCAATAGCAAGAAGGATTAATCTAGCACATAAATCTTTAGTGTGTTTATATCTTGGACACTGTCTCTTCTAGTGCTAGAGGAGGTTTAAGAAGGTGCAATAAAGATTATCAGAAGTACAGAATGCCTTCTATAGTAGGAAAAAAAAATGAAAAGTGCTCTTACTGCTCTTTCAAAAGCTTGAAAGAGAAATTACAAAGCTATAAGATCCGTAAAATAGCCTGTAACATCAAGAAATATGAAGTTATTAACAGATTTATTCTAATTTATTGGTCAGGAAACTGACCAGAACATTGGGAATGACTTTATCCACACATGCTGTAATTAATCTGAGCGAGTCTGTTCCCAAGGAAGTTGTGGCATAGGATTAAAGAGGAGTTCAAACAGTTGAGGCAAGTTAGTAAAGAATGGATTGTTTGTCTACTGAGTATTACAATAGCTGGTTTGCAGTCAACGTAGAAAGCTGCTGAACTGCTTCTTATGCTGGCAAAAAGATTGTATTATGAGCACAGTTCTCACACAGCTGTTGCTGATAATCAGTGGAATTGTTCCATTAGGCTACTTAGTCTGACAGCGTAGTGTTAAAACCTTATTCCTAAATTCTGCTGCCTTTGTGTTGTCATCTGAAAGCTGGAAGAGTTGCTGTCATGGGAAAGTTTTCC